GTCCTCTGACTACCACAGTCCAGTTAAGCTATTAAACACAACATTATGACATCACCAAACAGTAGTAAGGTTGCTTCAATGCCTGGATGCACTGGCACCTGTAGAGAAGAGATAGACCAGGGGTGTCCAAATCCTGGTCCTCGCAGACCACTATTCTGCATATTTGTCTTCCTGCTCCAACACACCTGATTCAATCTCTGTCATGTGCAGAAGCCTGTTAATCACCCACTGAATCAAATCAGGTGTGTTGGAGCAGAAATGCATCTAACGGTATGCAGGGTAGTGGCCCTCAAAAATTTGGACACCCCTGGATTAGACAGACAGGGTTGCTAGCTTGGGGGCCGAGATAGGGTAGAGGCTGGGCAGCTAACTGGGGACCTGAAAGTTCCAGGTTCAATCCCCAGTCATTGCACTTCTTGTGGTGTCTCTGAGCAGCACACCCTATCTATTGCCCACTGCACCACCTGGGGGTGAATGGGTTAAATGCAGAGATCCAATTTCACCATTGCATGGGAACGTACAATGATAACACATTATTATTATTATATTATTAGAGCCCCTCAAGTTACTGTGTTCAGCATCTGCCACAAAGACAAAGGACCAGGAAAAATAAGGGTCAGGTCAAAGATTGTTCTGGAAAGCTGTACTTTAAGCATCAGAAGTGGGGAAAATGGCACGTTAATTTGAAATAATTGCATCAAAAGAATCTCCTAAATGTCAGTAAATTGTATAAATTTCAGGTTTCTGAGTCTTAGAAACTATGACTTCTTGCTGGTTTTTCTTTGACTGCAGTCTTGTCTCAAAGGCTCTGGGCACTAATGAAGAGGCAGACGTCAGTTTCTGTAAGAGCAGCTGAGGCTAATTACAGCTCGCTCTGAGAGATGTCGTTCACAGCCATGACAGCCAAAACTCCAGCATCAATTAGAAAATATTGAACTGGTCCATGACGATGTGGCATCTTTGACTTCAAGTCAGTCTTTCAATTTGTAACACTTTAACACTTTGTAATTAACAACGATTCTTGTTTTAATCCGATCAGGTTAGCATTTTTTATCATCAAACATGCCCCCTCCCCCCAATCATGAGCCCCTTCTTGTTTGCTCTGATTAACAGATGAGGTCAGACAGGAATCCCTGTGGACTGTGATGTTTGCAGATGATGTGATCTGTGGTGAGAACAGGGAACAGGTGGAAGAGAACTTGAAGAGGTGGAGGTATGCACTTGAAAGAAGAGGAATGTCAGCCATGGTAAGACAGAGTACATGTGTGTGAATGAGAGGGAGGAGGTGGAACAGTGAGGCTACAAGGAGCAGAGATCACAAAGGAGCAAGACTTCAAGGACTTGGGGTCCACTGTCCAGGAAAATGGGGGGTGTGGTAAAGAGGTGAAGAAGAGAGTCCAGACAGGATGGAGTGGATGGAGAAAAGTTTCAGGAGTGATGTGTGACAAAAGGGTGTCAACAAAGGTCAAAGGAAAAATTTACAAGACAATGGTGAGACCATATGTTGGTCTGGAGACAGTGTGCGGGTGTACAGTGTACTTTTTGAATAAAGTAGATGCAATTTCCTGCATTTTGTTGTATTTTAAGGAGTAAAACATCTATGTTTACCTACATTTGTAAACGCTCGGCTTATGTCAAGCATCCTACACCCACCCCACTTGGCAGTTCCGAGCCGACTCTTCTCTTCTGAATTCACAGTCCGACTCCACATGTGAAACCTCCAGGGGCCTCCTCCGTCTGTTCATTGCTGCTGCCTGTGGGCTCCTGCCTGCATATAGCTGCCTGGTTAGCTCGTTCAGCACTCACCCCTCACCGTCTTTTAGGAGTGGAGATATTTTTAAGGGTAGACGTGGAAATGCTGCTTGAAGAGGCAGCTCGTGTGTGATATAGAAGTCGTAAGTGGTTGCTGTGTTTAAAATGAGTGTTTATGTAATTTCAGTTTCAATATCCAATATAAGTTTTATTTGCTCAGGGCAGTCAAATTTGTTCATAACTTTATTATTAGGCCTGAGAGTTACTGGATCCAAGCAAACAGTTACTGGAACGCACCCTGTCAAAATAAGAGCGTTCCCAGATTCTGTTCTGGCAGGATCCGGTTCAAATTAAGCACCGCCTGTTCTGCCTCAGAGTGAACCATCCTGAGGCGACAAGATCTCCTCTTGGGACAGTCGTCTTGTTAAAAACTGTTTCCTCTTCATCCGTCCGGGTGGTTTCTGTCCTGTAAGCTTTTCTTTAGTCAGGAAAGTTGGTAAATCTTTGTGCAGCTCGAGGCCGTCGGTGTCGGTCACAGAAGCAGGGCTCAGCGTTGTTGAGTGGCGGTCAATTATATCAGGGCCTGGAGCCAAACGCTGCCAACTCCGACCAACCCTTCATCCTAGTTGTGATTTACTCAGATCCCCACAAGACGGCAGCTCAAGCCTGATCCCAGTAAGAGATAAATACTTACTGCTCGTATCCTGAGTGCTTAATAAACAGCATCCCAGCTGGAGAAAAGAATGTACCAAGTATCATTTGTGATGTTTAATATTTGTCATAGGTGTTTTTAAGGTGAAGAGCTGGAGGTTTTGTCTGCTTTCTCAGAGGGGAAATCACTGTGTTGATGAAATCTGGTATAATCTACGAAGTACGAATGGGAACCACGGCCACCATCTCTTCCAAAGATCTGGCTCCACAGGTTGATTGGACCTCGGTAAAAAAAAAAGGGTTGCTTTACTGTTAAAACAATATTTCAGCGCATGTTTTTTTTTTTTTTCATCCTAACACCAAAATGACTGACTGTGTCAAGGTAATGTGTATTATTTGCACTCAACATGCTCCATACGTTTCTGCTCCATGTGCTGTGGTTGTGAATGATATTAAAGTGTTCCATGTAATAATCATTCTTGGTGTGACAGGACAGTAAGGTACAGGAGAAGATACTTTTTATTATCCTCAAGGTATATGGTACACAGTAGTCCCTCGCTGCTTCACGGCTCGACTTCTAAGGACTCGCTCTATCGCGGTTTGTGGACGTAGAGTCCATAATATTGTACAAAAACATTGTACAGGACACATGACTGTTAACTTTAATATTACACACGTGATTGAGATATATATATATATATATATATAAAATTTCGAGCAAACACATAAATGTTTAGGTGCATTTCTTATTAAATTTCTCAGAAACGAGCCACGTTCCTCCTCCTTTTTTCCTCCCTCTGCGCTCCCGGGAGCTCCAAAGCAGCAAAACTATTGTTGAAATTCAGCTGATTTGACCATTAAAGTGCATTTATTAAGCAAACGTTAGACTGAAACACGCGTTTACTATAATTTTGAGCAAACAAATAATTGTTTTTAAGTGTTAATCTTGTTGAATTCTTGTTAAAGTCCTCCTGTGCATGCTCATGCAGCTGTCATTTGGCAACCCATCGATTTTTGGCACAACACCGTTCCACATTTCCGGGTTGTCAGCGGTGACGCATAATAGATGCGACGTATACGGCGAAGCGACATATTTATGGATTTTTCCACCTTTTTAGACATATTTGGACTGATGCGACTTATAGGGCAGAGCGACGTGTACGATGGAAAATATATTTGGCTGAAGTTTTGGAGGCGAGTGTGACATCTGCTGTCTCGTTGTAACTGTTGGAGATGAGTCGGTGACTCCATTTCTGAGAAATTAGATAAATTTTCCGTTTCAATCTTAATGAATTTTGAGTGTTTGTGACCAAGCGACCAGCGAACTGCGCGGCCACATTTAACAAACTCTTCTATTTCTCCACAATTCTGCGCTTACTCTGAGAGAAGACTTGTTGCACAAATTATTTTGGACGTTTAAAATATGAGCGGCAACATTGCAAAGACCTCCACAAACGCTTCAAGATGTTTTGGAAACTCTTTTGCAAATGTTTGCGGCTAATTGCAACCCACTGAGATACTGGTTTAAGTTGAACATTCAGTAGTAAAATCTATTTAAACCATACTTGTTTAAAAACTATTACTAACTTAAAAAAATAAACAGTTTTGTCATGTAAAGTAAAAGTTTTTGGTAGCCATTTAAATTGAATGAATACTGTGGCAAATGAGCTATCAAAGTGTTTTTTCTTGCATGTTTCGCCAAATCCCACTCACGTCTCTGGGTAATATTTTGCTGTTTATTGGTAATTTTGGCCCCGTTGTACTGGTGCAGTTATCCCAAAAGTCATAGCACATTATTTCCAATCAATCCCCAGAATTTTATGTATTTTTTGCATGTGTGTTTCAAAAGCGATGATAAAATTTGCTAATCTAAAATCATGACAAAAACAGAGGAATATTGAGGTCGTTCAATTAATTATCTACAACAGGTAAGATACTATTCATTCAAAAGTGTTCCACAGAATCCCACTTCGAAAAATCTTAACATCCATTTAAGTTGGTAAAAATTCAGGTGCTCAGGTTTTAATTAATTTATTGTTTAAGGTTATCTAAAGGTGCATGTTTTAAATTAAAAATAAACTTTATTAGGCGATACTTCTGTAAGGAACAATAACTTTGTGTCCTCCAGTATCACGAGTAGTGGAGAAATACAGGCAAATAATTAAAGTTGCACATGATAAAGCTCAAAGTATGAACAAAACAAGACATTTTTGTACAGAACTCTGAGTTTTAAAGCAGCAGAATGAGCAACTGGATTGCACTAAAATAGTCCCATAATAGATTTAGATAAAACTACGTTTCTCTGAGCTTTTTTGTTTGAAAAGGCCATTAGTTTAATTTTTGCTTGGCATCTGAAGCAAAAAATACAAAAATAATCTATGCATGCCCAAATAAACGCTTTGTGCATTTTCCAGGTTTGTAAATCTCCCTTCCTTCTATCTTTCAAGGCCTTAAATGTGAGCAGAACGTAGATCAAACAGCAGGCACACAAACGCTCGCCACTTCTCTTATTTAAAGCCACACTAAAGCAAGTGCAATGTGTCAAATTGTTCCGTTTTGGACGAGTTTTTTAAGAAGCGCCTGCTTTGGAAGTAAGATCACTTCCTCTGCGACTTGATGGGAGTTGTGTCGATGTAACGTTGTGCTCCCGCAGCTTTTGGATGCAGCACGATGACGTCGTCCTCCCTCGACTGCTGCTTGGCGAAATTCACAAACACCTGCAGAGACGGATGAAGAAAAAAATATATATATTGTGTGGTTTGGTAAAAGCTGATATGAAGCATAAGCAGTGGATTCTTTCTGTTTCATTGCCATATTTTAGGGGAAATTGAAGGGTTGTCTCTTTTAATGGGTTAAAAGTGTTTTGTTGTTAAAACAAAATTCAGCGTCAGGTGGAGGAGTTCAAGTATTTGGGCATCTTGTTCTTGAGAGATGGCAGGACAGAGCAAGGCCTTGTCCTCAGTAATGAGGGTGTTGCTTTGGTTGGTCGTGGTGTAGGGTTGTGAAAGATAAACCGATACGACCGGATATACAGTTTGACAAGCTATCGATATGGCTGCGTCTGTAGCAGCCGTATAAATCGATAGCAACCAGCCACAAATCCTGAGATGAATCGGTTGAAGAGACTATAGGTTGACAGTGCGTCTCTAAAACAACGCGAGAGCCAGGAATGCTCGCAAAGCTATTCTCACGCGTGCGCCGTAGCTCACCAAGACTGAAGACGAGAATGGATGTACGTAGTAGCAGCGCTAGCGAGTCACAGAGAAAGATTTTCAATACATCAGTCAGACAAAAATCTAAAGTTTGGAACGTTTTCGGATTTTACGATAAGGAAGGAAAACTCAACAAAAGCCACGCTATCTGTAAGCATCTCTGAAGTACACCCAACGAACCTTGACCAACATGCAACGAGAAAACACAGAGAGGAGTATGGCAATCTTCTCAAGCCCCATAACAACAAGCAGGAGCATGCACACAGCGGGCGATGGGTAACGTTATCACTAAATGACACGGTCAACTCGGCCACAATTCATCACTAGCTAAGGATATAATGACATCAATAACCCGTTTTATCACTAAAGACTTATGTCCGTACGATATAGTGGAGGGGAAAAATTTCAGGACTGGATTCATACGTTAGAGCCCAGATATAAGATTCCGTCATCGGTAAATGTTTGTTATTTCAGATGATAAACATCCTTGTAAAAAGAAGAAAATGTCAGCCCTGGACCAGCTAGATCTGTGAGGGACCAGGCCAACGAAGAAGTCAAGAGGTACAGAGAGCGTGATCCTTTGCCCCTGAAAAAAAACACTACAGTGGAGTAAAGAGCAACAGGACTTGCCACTGCTGTCACCTATGGTTAAAAGGTATAATCGAAAGTCAAATCGTATTGTATCGTATCGTATCGCATCGAATCGTATCATTCTGTTTTTAAAATATATCGCTTTTGAATCGAATCGTAACTTTTGGATCTAGATGCGGATCGAATCGTCTGTCACACAGAAATGTGCAACACTATCGTGGTGAAAGGTCAAAAGGTAAACCTGGATGTTTTCTGTAGCTTTTACACTTTTTAAAAATATTTACCTATATTTACAAACATTTCCCTATAAAATACGCCGTTATCTTTTCTATTTCTTCAGAAACATTGTTCTTTCAGCTACCAGCTCTTTTTCTTTACCTTTAGGTTTTAGCTAGCCATTTGCACCTTTTTATTTTTAGCCTTTTGCAACTTTGCACTAGCCTTTGTTTTTGTTTTTCAGCTCTTCAGCTAGCGTTTAGCTACTTTTAGCTTTATCTAGCCTTTGATTAAAGATTTAAAGCAAAAGGGGAGAATAAATACGCATGAAGCACTTTTAAGATTTTAAGATTTTAGAAATATTTTAAACGATTTCCCCCCTTTTCAGTCCATTAATGTGGAGTACTTTTGCAGAATCGTCACTCAAACTTAAAATCCATGTAAACTTCCGGCTGTAAGGCAACAAAATACAGAGGGACGCAAATTGTGCAGCCCATTGTGGAACTTTAACGTGTCAAACACTTAAAGGAGTTAAATGTAAAATGCAAAGTCAACCCTTCTGAACACTTTAAAAAACATTTTATATTGTTTTATGGTTGACCTGATCGAGCGTGGTCTGAGACAAAGAGTAATCCTCGATGTTCAACTTGTCCTTGTTAGCCAGGACCATCTGAAATATTCTCGCCAGGGAGGAGGAGGAGATCTTGTACTGCAGCGTGTTATGGTGTTTCTCTCTCTGGATGCAGCTGCGGAAAGTGCTCTTCATGAACGCTTCAGCGGGGTTCAGGTCTGGGGAGCAACCAGACTTGGCTGCTCCGATCTTCATGGTTAGTACGTAGCCGTCTCCAAACCTGCATCACAGAAAAGTGGTTATTTCGAGCACAATTCTTGGTATTTTAGATGATTTTTGTAAACTTAAACATGAGGGGGAAAGGCTAACTTGTATTTGAGATGCTGAATGGTTCCCAGACACTTGAAGGATCCATTGACCATGATGGCTAAGCGGGTGCACAGCGCCTCACATTCCTCCATGCTGTCAACAGGAAGTCATAACTGTTACATGCTGCACTCGTACCTACATTGAGTTTATTCATATCTTAACATGCTGCCAACGATACAATTCACACCTCAATATGGGATTTGATGTATAAAACAGCAAACAATGGATTTATTGAAATTAACAATTTACAACATACTAAAAATTAATTCTAGCCTGTGGTCGTCACACATATCCATTTTTATGTGTCTATAGTGTTTTATGTAGAAAACACAACAAATAAAAAGACCCTTAATGCTCAGTTTTCAAGAGATATATTTGAAAGGCAATGGAAGTCAATAAGAGTTTGAGAGAAAACCATAAATTCCACAGAGGTGATAAAAAAGTCAAACTATATAAGAAGTGTGAGGCGTGCGAGAGTAAAAACGTGGTTTGCGAAAATGTTTGGAAGGTTTAAACAGAACATCAGACAAAGTTGAACATTTTGTGGTAAGATCTACAAAAATCATCAAACTTTAACTTTAATCTTTACATCTCTAAGCCAAAAAGAAGTTTATTTAAACGGAACACGGTTTACCTGTGTGAGGTAAGGACCACTGCTCGATTATCCTGAATTACACTCATGATGGACTTCCACAGAAAGCGTCTGGAGAGTGGGTCCATACCTGTCGTAGGCTCATCCTGAAGTACAAAGGCAAACACTGACACTAATTTGGTCTGATTTAAGATGTTCGTATGATGAACAAAAACCTTGAATCCCAGCAGGATCAAAGGTTTCAGCCTCACCAGCAGCACCAGAGCAGGACAGCCAATCATAGCAATGGCGGTGGAGAGTTTCCTCCTGTTACCCCCACTGTAGGTCCCAGCACTTCGACCTGCGTACTCTGACAAGCCCAGTTTCTGGATGGCCCAATCTGCTACCTACAGTTGGGGGAAAGATGTGTCTTTTGTTATACTTTTAGATTCAGTGCCGGTCTGTACATGTACATCGTCCCAGAAGTGCCAGATCTAGGAGGCTGAAAAGGACAGAGTCTGCAGCTCTGGTACGGTTTTCTACCCAATCCATTAAAACATAGGTGATTTGTGGCAAGTCTGGAAAACCTCCTTCAGGTAACTGGAGACTGCCTGAAGGCAGACTGCTATGCTTTTTTCCTGCTATTTTCCACCTACTCAAGATGCTCCCTTGTGCCCTCACCATGCTGCACCTTCACATGACGATAATACACCGCAAGCCCACAATCACACCATATCCTGGCCCCCACTCTGGCAAGACTCTCTTAGAGGATGTTGAGATGCATCCCCATGCTAGTAAGAAAATCATGCTACACAACCATAATGGTAACGTCATGGCTATCACATTTAAGCTTTGTAATGATCACTGTCATAGTCTAGGCAAGAGGACAGTTTTGTCTCGACCACCAAGCGATGCTGGTGCACATAGATTCACCGTCACCTTGCTCCCCCACTTTCCATCCAAGACACCAACGCTCTACCACCAGAATGATAAACCAAAAGTTTTGTGTACGCTCAAAACCCTCCATAAACTACCTGCTCTATTAATGGGAAGCCAGCTGTCTTCCTAATATATACCATAAGACCTCGCCCAGACCCTACAAAGACCATCAGTATTTTGCCTAATATTTGTTACACTATCGCAAGGTTACCCGCCAAGGTGAAGAGGGGTCTATTGAGGAATAAAGTGCTGGTCCAACCATAAGGTTTTTTGAGTCATTGAAAACATTTTGTAACAGAAACAGACCCTTCTGTAGCAAAAGGTCTTCAGAAAACAATAAACAGATCCTAGTATTTTACGCATCCTGAATGGACCGACACCCCAAGAGCCAGAGCAAAAACATCAAGGTTTCATTTTTCTCTGCAACACTATGGTACAGATCTTTTCAGACAAATGGCCAGTCTTCAGTTAGATAATGCATCACTCTTAGCATCTGTTTATTAATAATGAGAGCTCCTCCTCACCCTGCTAATCTCAGATTCTGGAACCCCCCGGAGGCGGGCGTAGAGGTGCAGATGTTCTCTACCCGTCAGCAGCTCATCGATGGCGTCAAACTGTGGGCAGTAGCCCATGTTCTGATGAACGTCCAGGATTTGAGTCAAAATGCTGCAAGGATAACATAATGAAACATGAAAAATATTCTGTCAGACATATTTGACCAATAACCACGCCCATCTGAAGGGATATGACTCATTAGGCATGTATTAATAAAGAACTAAAAATTTGATCCCAGAGGTTTTGAGTTTATGGTAGTTTATGTGTTGTTGACAAAATATTATACATAAGATTTAGTATTCAAATTAAATGTTATTAATCTTTAAATTGAGATCAATGTAGCTGGGTAAAGTTGAAGTTATGAACCTGTAACCGGAGACCGATGCTTCTCCTGAAGTCACATCTATGTCTCCAGTCAGCATCTTAAATGTTGTGGTCTTCCCTGCTCCGTTTACCCCAACGAGACCAAAACACTGCAGATCAGAACAATAAAAACATTTAAATCAAAGGTCGATCTCTGCTGAACAACTTCCAAAAACCCGTGCATCAGAAATTGGACTGACCTCTCCAGGCGATACTCCGACACAGATTTGGTCCACTGCAGGGATCGCTGTCCCCCTGTATGTCTGGTAAGATAAAAATTTAACTGAAATATGTTTGGTTTGTTTTTATTTGTCTACTATTCAAGCTACATTGACATAAAGGGGCGGCTGTGGCTGAGTGGTTAGAACAGTTGTCCTCCAATGCAAGAGTTGGGGGTTTGATTCCACCAGCAGTCACATGCAGAGTCCCTGGGCAAGACACTGAACCCCTCATTGCCTCAGATGTGTGTTGTACCGTGTTGTAAAGAGCTTTGAGTATCTTGATAAGACAGAAAGGTGCTATATAAGTACAGTCCATTTACCATTTACCATAAATTCTTATAAAGGATTAAAGAGTTTCTTCTTCTTAGATGTGAGAAACAGCAAAGAATCATTTTCTGCACTGTCGTCATGATCCCGGATGAGCCCCCAAAAATGTTATTGCTAAAAATATCTCAAAGAATGCCTAAAAAGTCCGGACAAGTGCAACATTTTAAAATAAATGCGGGCACAGATTGTAGTGTAAGCACTTTTAGTATCTTGACAAGATAGAAAGGTGTTATATAAGTACAGTCCATTTACCATAAAGACCACCGTCTTACCTTAGACAGGCCTTTTATACGTAAAATGTCCTTTGTTTGTTCGCTCTTGTGGATTCTCTCTCTTTCCTCAGCCACATCTTTATCCTCGTCCAAAATGTGCGGCTTTGGTCCATCTGGAATCCTAAAAAAAAAGTAAAATTTTTACCCAGTCAACCTTCAGTTTATGTGAAAGTGACGTTAAATCTTATATAGTGATATTAGTTGTACTTGCCAGTGATCGAGGAAGAAGCGGTACTGAAAAAGTATGTTGAGGATAAAATAGACAAACCCCTCAGCTGCCATACAGAACAAGTTCTTCCCAATGAAGTCCCAGCTTAAGGGGTTGGGGCTGTAATCTTCACCTTGGGGCAACAAAACACATGCTTTGGCTTCCATCTGGCACGAGCAACGACTCAGCGTTTGTTGAGTTAAGATGCACGTTAGAAACTGGATTATTTCATGATTACCAAAGCGAGCATAGACATCCGTCACAGCCTGGTTCATGGCCATGTCGATGAGCCCCCTGCCCAGGCAGTAATGAGGAAAGATGAGCAGCGCCGTCTTTAACATCTGGTTGAACCTGTACAGAGCCTAGATAAGAAAACATCAAACTTTGACAAAAGAGAAGAAGGGATAGAATATGAATAAGTAGGTAACGATTCCACCCCGCACGTACTGTGGTGCTCTCAAAGAGGTCCAGGATGAAGGTGATGGCGCTGCTGTTGATGCCAATAAACAGGTTTATACAAGACAGAGAGACGTAGGCGGTGCTGGGGACACTGAAGACATAGGACATGGGGTACATCATGGGGGTCACAGACCAGCTAGGACAGAAAACAACACAAAAATATAGTTAAGTTACCTCATTGGTGAATATTCATCTTTAATTATTATTACTCACCCATAAAGCATAAGCAGGGCGATAAGTGGATGCAAGTTGGTTGGTGAGGTGTAACATCTCTTCTCAAAGAACATGAAGGTTTTCACCACCATGGCTGCACTGATGGAGTAATTCACCTGGAGGAAGAACCAGAAAATTATTTTTTTTTTTGTTTACCCGTCATACATTAAACCAGCACTGTCCAAACATGGTCACGGTACCATGTCCCACAGGAAGTTGGCCGTCCAGTACACCAGAGGACTGACTCCACTGACGAACTGCAGGTGCTTGGCCTGCGTGGCCCTCTCCTGGATGAGGTAGAGGACGAAGCTGGCTGGGACGAAGGACATGGCAAAGATGACACAGATGGCCACCACTGCGTCCACGGAGGTGGTCAGACTGGGAGAAGAAGAGAGTTATGGGTCAGTTTGTTTTACAGAAAGACGTGAAAATAATGCTTCTCTTTAAAAAGTCCCAACACGCTACACTGTAAACATGCTCACACGGTGATCTCAGAGAGCTGCTCCTTGGTGAGGTTCAGAGGATGGTTGATGGCAGTGATGCCATATTCATCCAGATTAGCTCCTTTGGGCAAATTAGCTCGGAGAATGGCATTGTTGGCAACATTCATAAACGCCACCTTGGCATGCCAGCCCTTGTTGTTATACCACACCTGGAACACCATCAAATAACATTTCTTCATCATCATCAGGACAAAAGATTTCATCCAGCGGATGAGATGAGCTCTGCAGGACTAACCTTGACGCTGTTTTGAGTCTCCATATACTTGAGGAATGTCCCAATGTCCCCAAGTGTTTGTTTGGCGTATTTGCCCTGAGAAGTTAGTAAATTAAGTGGATTGCAAGAGATGTTACTGAAGAGTAATGTTAAACTTAAAAACAAGTTGTTTCAAAGCCTCACCCCGGTAACATTAAGAAGTCGTCCGAGCTGAGCTGCTGCATCCAGGATGGTCTCTGGCTGAACTCCTAAAACAGGAAGCTGTCCACCCACTGATATACCCCCATACCTGGAACCACACACACAATCCTGATGAATCTCCAGGGTTCTCTGATCCTGCAGGTTTATAACTCCAACTGCAGAGCAAAGTTATAACCACCAGAGGGAGAACTGCACCACCGCATACAGTCGAGTCTGTCCTTCAAGAGTAGGCTTCTCACAATCTTAACAGAAATAAATGTTAAAGCTGTGAGTAAAACAAACTGGTTCCAGTCTCACTGCTTCTGCAGGATCTGAGAAGTTGTTCTGGAGCATACAAGTATGTGTTATTAACACAACACCAAGCTGGGAAGACATCAGCAATGATCTCAGGGAAGCGACTGCTCCTGCCTTTCAATCTGGAAAGGGTCAGAGGTCATTTATAATTATTCACGTCTTTTTTTTCTTCTGAGATGAAGATTATTTAAAAGTGGAAAACATATGACAGCTCACTATCTTCTCAGTAAATTCACCCTGAAGGTCAGACTGTGCAGTGCTCAGACGAATCAGCTCAGTCAGACTCTACAGGCCTCAGTGAGCTGGTTAAAAGTCAAAGGTCGTGGCCTTTTTTCTCTAAAATAAACATGTCAGAAGGATTTAGGTTTGAGCTGTTTCATCTGAAGGAACCACAAGACTTCTGGGACAAAACCAAACCAAAAGACAGATGTTTACCCAGAATGCACTGCTGTCAGCACAGTGGTGGAGGGGTGATGGTTTGGGCTTACCTTTGTTCGTTCACCCAGTATTTGCTTTTCAAGCTGGAGAGACACCACACACAAACAAAAATTATTTTACACACAGAAAATAAATAAATGTCAAAGTTTGCTTTTACAGCTGTGGTACCTGGTCCTGATGAGGCTGGGGTAGGTCTTCACCAGGTAGTCAGAGACGTTCCTACCAGTCAGGTCCACGAGGACGTCTCCTGTGGACTGGATCCTCTAAAAAAAAAAAAAAAAAAGAGCAGCACACAGGTCAGGTGGAACATCTGAACAAGTTCTGCTTCCATTTGAGATTTTATTTTAGTGCACGAAGCGTGGACTTGTTCAACACCGGGCCTCCAGAAGTTCTGAAACTTTTCAGCTTCCAAACCCACAAAATAGCTCCAGTGGAGGCTTGTGACCTCAAATATCAAAGAAACAAAACTTTGCTGATAACCGTAATAAATAACATCATAAAAACACAGAATCCTTACTACTTTTTATAATACAGTACTTTAAAGCAGGAGTGGTCAACATTTGTTTCCAGAGGACCATATCAAGATATTTAAAGCCATCAAAGAACTGCATAGAGAATTGGGGAAAAATGTATTTAAGACCTGGAAGACTTTTTTCTTCAGACTGTTTCTTGTAGCATAGTTAGCGTGCTTGACAAAACTATATTGCCCCATTAATCTTTAGGAATTAGACACACCTTCTGTAAAGTGGCTCATGTGACAGAATATTTTTTACCTTAAGATTGCAAAAAATGTTATTTGTTTGTTCTTCAGGGTTTTCAAAGTTCAGTATAATTTTCAAAACACAAATGACTTTAAAAAAAAAATGATTATCTTTTTAATCTAAAGATTTATTTATGATTTTGTCCAAGGTGTTTAATTTAGTCTTCCTTAAGTTTAGCTGATAAAATGCAGACTTTCATGAACTTATTTAAAAGTAGTTTTCTTTGTAGTTAAGGATATTAGGGCAGGATGAAGACTGTCCGAGGGACTCTTTTGTTGCCCACGCTTGCTGTAAATGCAGAGTCAGCAAATGAAATGTTTTTCCATTTACAGTTTCTTCCATATGTTTTTTAGACTTTAACAATCTGAACAATTTTTTTTTCAGCCATTCAAGTATTAAAAACCTTCAGCTCATTCAGAACGTTACAGCTACAACTTTTAGTTTTTATGCCTTTTATATTTATTGAATTGTTGAATTTTATTTCCATATTTTCCTCAAAAATAAGATAATGAAATGAGAGCCCAGTAATTAAAAAAAAAGTTGTACTCTTTGAGATATTTTTAGCTTAATTTTTATCACTTTGTGTGTGCGTGTGTATTTTTGCTCATTTTAGCTTTTAGCTACTGCTTTTCTGGTTTTAGCCTTTAGTAAGTGTTTGTTGGTTTTACATTTTAGATGCTGTTTTGGTCATTTTAGCTATTAGCTACTTTTCTGATCATTTTAGCTACTGTTTTGCTGGTTAGAGCTTTTAGCTATTGTTTTACCTGTTTTAACTTTTAACTACTGTTTTGCTAGCATTAGCTTTTAGCTACTATTTTGCTTGTTTTAACTTTCAGCTACTGTTTGTCAGCATTGGCTTTAAACTACTTTGAGCTGGTTTTAGCTTTAACTTACTGTTCTGTTGACCTTTGCCTTTAGCCATAGTTTTGACTGTTTTACATTTTAGCTACTGTTTTGATCATTTTCACTACTAGTTACTTTTCTGTTCATTTTAACTTTTAGCCACTGTTTTGATAATTTTAACTATTAGCTACCTTTCTAATAATTTTAGCTTTAAGCTATTGTTTTGCTAGTTTGTGTTTTTATCTATTGTTTTTACTGGTTTTAGCTTTTATCTACTGTTTTTCTGATTTTAGCTTTTCAATACCATTCTGCTAGTTTTAGTCTTTAGACACCTTTTTGTTGGTTTTACATGGTAGTTACTGTTTTGGTCATTTTAGCTAATAGCTACTATTCAGGACAGTTTAGCTTTAAGCTACTGTTTTGCTGGATTGAACTTTTACCTACTGGTTTGCTTCTCTTAGCAATTAGCAACTACTTTTCTGGTCCTAGCTTTTAGCTACTATTTTGCTAAATGTAACTTTTAGCTACTGTTTTGCTGATTTTACCTTAACTTTCATTTAGTTAGTTGTATTTTTGTTTTGATCTTTTTAACTTTAACATCTCAGTTTCAGCTTCTTCAACACACTTCGTTACTTTTTGTTGGAAATATGACTTGAGCAACATTTTTACATTTAATTTGAACTCTAAAGAACATTTTTGGACTCTATCTTGATGTTTCCTGACCCACAATAGAGTCCTGACCCACATTTTGGGAACCACTGATCGATGTAGCCTCCATACCTGAGGAGGTGGCAGGCCTCCAGCTCCCTCAGAGCACACAGGCAGCACGGTGAGTTTTTTAGGAGTGCTGCACTGACATTCTGGAGATGGTCTCAGGTCTGTCCACTCGGGACCTTCTAGTCTTTCTATCAGGGCAGGGTCAACCAGGGGCGTCTCCCACTCCGTGGTGATGTTGTTACACGGGAAATCCCTGCATAGTGGCAAATCTGTCAAACAAAACTATCCCTGCACCAAATTTAGAGAGGCCATAAATTGTGAAAGACATTTACTCAAGAGGTTCATCTGCCATGCAGCGTGTCCCAAAACCAGGCCTGTCCAACAAAACTTCACCAAAATATCTCGTGTCAGGGTCAGTGGGACGCTCGTTGCTGCAGTAGACAAAAAAAGTTTGGTTCATTTTCCACGTGTATGTTGTCTGATCAGTGTTAGAGTCCTTATTTAAAGTGTAATACCTGAAGAAGGTGTACTGTCGCCCATACATCCAGGGGCTGAGGGTCAGACTGGGATATTCTCCAAAAGGTGGAACTATCAACGTGAACATCAGCGCCAGGAAGACGAAGCTGGCTGGAAGCACAATCTGTCAAACACACAGAAACAACTCGGATTTAACAAGCCTGAAAAATCTCAAGCGTATTATTGTTGACCAACATGGTCCAAAACTACCAGCAGTTTAGTTAATAAAGAAATTAGAGAAGTAACCTGGGCAACAAAGTCTTTCCAGGAGCGTGAGGCGTGGTGCCACCTCTTGATCAGCAGAGCAAAGAACTGTTTGATAGTCAGGAATGGGCCTCGGACCTGGTAGGATCCCCGTCCCGCGCTGCCTTCTGGGGTCTCGCTCAGACCCTGACCATTGGACTCTGGAAGGAGAACTGATGTCTGGTTAGCATCGAGCAGCTTGCACCAGTGGTGGTAAATGAAATAAAGAAACCAGCCGGCTGCCTGAGGCACATAGACTTCCAGTATCTGCCACCAGAACGTCTTCGCCATCAGTGCTGTAACTGTCCTAATCTTTACGTGAAGCTGTTGCCACTGAAAGCTGGGTCTAATAAATCAGATGGTCATAAAAGCAGCAGCATGGGCTAACAGCTTGTTTAGAGGAGGGGCTAGAAGGCTAATAAATATATGAAGTTGTTCTATGAGGTTTTTTATATTTACTGCCCACTGCCATGTTTAGCAGGCGCTCATAGAAATGTGTTTTTTGTCTCTCTGTAGCAAAATATTTCCTGAACTACTGGACAGATGTTATTAAAACTCTCATCTAAGTAACAATAGCAACACAGACATGGCTATAAGTCAACCCATTCTACAAATATTGGGCTAAAATTGGTTGTGGTAGTAGCTGAAAGTCCCTCCCAACACATACTCTGAGCACTAGCAGACCATGTGAGACATTTGTTTAAAACATTGGTATATAAGACAGTGGGCGACATGCATTTCTTTCAGGCTTTATTGTGCGATGTTATTTGATGCTAACTCTCCTTTCTTAAAGAATGCTAGTTTATTTTTGTGAGGTAATACCGGTATTGTTCTTTCTATATTCTCCTACTGAAACTTTGTGTAAAACTTAACAAAATGAAAACGCATATTGTCCACCTACGATCAGTGAGCGTTCCAGCGCCAGTTAGCGCTCAGAGTAAGTGTTGGGGATGAGTCTCAGCTACTACATACCAAATTTGAGCTCGATATCTATAAAACTTGTCCAACTAAAGCCATTCTGTGCCTGCTAAGGTCAACAAGCTGTGTCTACCATCTTGAAATTGGCTGACACCAAACTTTAATTAGCTGTAGATTATCAAAGTTCATTCCAGGTAAAAAAAAAATCCAACAAAGCCAGGTCTTCTGGACGGTTCCTTTTTATTGAGCACAAGGCAGCGTAATTAGTTAGCATGCTGGAGTCTCATTCTTTATCGGAATTAACCAGACAAATCGCTCCACCAACTAACGTAAGGGCACCACCAGGAGTGGAGGCTGTGGCTTAATTTGACTCAACAAGAGAAACCTCACCCGGCCCGGACATGGAAAGGATTAACAGATTGATAGCTCTTTCTTCATTCTGTGGGTGGTGGTGCATGGTCGTTCTTAGTTGGTGCAGCGATTTGTCAGATTAATTCCAATAACGAATGAGAAGCTGGAATGCTAACTAGTTATGTGGTCTCATGCTCAACAAAAAGAAACCATCCAGAGGACCTGACTTAACTTTGCTGGGTTTTCTTTTTTTTTTCCATTTACCCTTTATTTTTCCAGGTAGTCTCATTGAGCCACAAGAACTCATTTTCAAGAGAGACCTGTTTAGGGAACAGATGGGGGGTTAAGGGCCTTGCTCATGGGCCCAGAGTGGGGCGAATGAGGGTGGGGGCAAGTGTGGGTGCTTCACCTACCCCACCCACAATTTTGATGTTGTCAGGGCTGGGGCGTGAACCGGCGATCTTCGGATCACAGGCCCACCTCTCTAGTTGTAGATTACTTTTTTCCATCCATCCATCCGTCATCTACTGCTTGTTCAGGACTGCTGTGGGGCAGCAGCTGAAGCAGAGAATTAGACATCTCTTTATCTGCTGTCTTTTCAGCTCATCTTAGAGAATCCAAGGCATTCTCAGGCCAGGTGTCCTGAGTCTTCCCCAGGGTCTCCTCCCAGTCGGACATGCCCAGAAAACCTTCCTAGGGAGGCGTCCAGGGCACCCTTACCAGATGACTGAACCACCTCAACTGGCTCCTCTGGATGTGGAGGAGCAGCGGCTCTATTCTGAGGCTCTCATGGAGAACTGAATTTCTTACACTGTCTCTTAAGAGAGTCCGGCTACCCCGCAGAGAAAACTGATTTCCATCGCTTGTGTTTACAATTTTGTTCTTTCAGTCACTACCAAAAGTTTGACACCTCAGCTGGCTCCCTTCGATGTGGAGGAGCAGTGGCTCTCTTTTTAAGAATTTCTTTAAAATCATCCACTGGCTCATGAGATATTTTGCTAAGAGAGAGACAAATGAATACACTGGCCACCTGCCTTTTATCGTGGCAGGCAATGAAAACTGCCACACTGCGTTTGTCCAACATTAGCAGCAGTTCTCTAGAGCTGTGAACTGAAAGCCTCTGTCACCTTGTTGTGCTTCCACATCAACAGCCACCCTGTTGAATCCACAGAGACTAGCTCGAGAGATCTGCTGCAAAGGTTTCTTATCTGAGAGTTAAAAACATGGATGCAAAAAAAATATTAACACACAACAGCACAGACAGAAAAACAACGAAGGAGCTACGACCCATTCAAACACAAAACAAAGGTATGAGTTCTACACACCCTCAACTTTTACCTTGTTTACACTTCCTGCTGGTTGTATTCCCATCTGCAGTGACCTTCAGAAAAATCTACAAGAAAACAGACGTTATCCGGACCCAAGAGAATTTGGAAATACTTTAAAATACATAAATGATAATTATCTACATTCATACAGAGCATTTTAAACTTGTTTTAGTGTCTACTAAGTTCTTTACTTATTCATAATTGCACTTTATATACTGTAAGCTAAACCCATGAACATGTAGGGGGAAAATTAGATTTAGTCTTGCCAAGAAGCCTTCAACACCAAGAAGATGTTTGGGATCCAAATGGCAACTTTTAGTTGGAACACACTAATCTTACGCAACTTCTTAATCAACACAACCAAATCCATTATTGTTACCCACTTCTTCCTTTTCTGGTCTTTTTTTAATTCATTTTTATCAAAATTGACTTTTTTTTTCATCCATCCATTATTTTCTTCCGCCTATCTGAGGTCAGGTTGAAGAGGTTACAGGTCCTGGAGGGAAACCTAGGCTTCCCAGTGACACTTTCCAACTCCTCCCAGGGGATCCCAAATTCTTCTCAGGTCAGAGAAGGTATACAATGCCTCCAGTGAGTTGTGGTACTGGCCCAGGGTTTCTGCCTATTTGGATGTACATCCAGTACTCCAGCAGGCATCTTAATCAGATGCTTGAACCACCACAGCTGATTCCTTTGGATGTAGAGAATCAGCTGCTATACTTCAAGTTCTGGATGGTGGAGCTCCTCACCTTATTTTTAAGGATGAGCCCGACCAACCTATAGTTTCACACCTATCAGGAATTCCAACCATGTGACCAGAGTGGCCCCTCTGTGGGTGGAACTAACAAAGACCCTAACGATCCTCTATTGTGAAGAGTGAGAGGTCACTGTGTGTGTCAATCTGCATTACGCAAGCTTACAGAACACCAAAGCTTTATAACTTGAATCCCACACTCCTTTTTTTTTTTTTTTTTATTGAGAAAGCTCCTCGGATGAGAAGCAAAGCATCTTCAGTTACAAATAAAGTCCAGTTGTTTTGTTTTCAACTTTTTTTGGGATCTACAGAGGAAGCTCATTTCAGCCACTTGTATCCAAAATCTTGCGCTTTCAGTCATGAACCATACCTCGTGAGGTTTGGAACACAACTAGACAGACCAGTGAATCAAGCCTTTTCAAATTATTCACCACAATAGACCGGGGCAACACACTCATTACTGCAGGTGAGCCCCTGATCTGTTGATCCTGCCATCACTCATTAACAAGACTCTGAGCTACTTGAACTTCTTCGCTTGAGGCACAGACTAAGGCACAACCCAAAGGGAGCTCTCCACCCTTTTCTAATTGAGAACCATTCTTCTCATCCTGGTTGTGAACCACCATTATGGGCTAAAAACACCATTAGAACTATATTATCTGCACAAAGTTCTTGGGGTTACAAAAACAGACACCTTTCTCTCCAGGACTTCTGATGAACACCATAAACAGGATAAAGGGACAGCCATACTGGGAAAAACTTGACTATGTGCAGCGACTGAAGACACAGCTCTTATTTTGGTTGTACAAGGACCAGAAAGCCCTTAAAAGAGACACTGGCCCCACCTAATCACAGAATACATATGCATCTATAAAGCACATGTGAACTGGATATGACCACTTAACAACTCTGCAAGGGTGAGAATCTAATCACTGTTCAACGACCTGGAGGAAATCCAAACTACCACTCCTGAATCAGAGGTTCGGACCAGTCTGAGCCTCCTCTCCTGTTTATTTCATTACTCAATTGTCATTCAAGCTAAGTTATATTTATTTCCTTTTCATTTCTGTCTTGGGATCTTAAATATAATTACTGGTGATTATACTGTAATAATCCACTTCTTTCATTCATGGTTTCCACACCTCCTCCAGCGATGTGTCTGACACACCAAAGCTGCTGAGGCCGATGTCCACAAGAGTTTCCTCCAGTTCCCTGAAGAGGCTGGCATAGGCTCTGGGCTGGAAGTTCTGATTCGGCAGCAGAAAGGTGAGTTCCTGGCCGATGGCCTCAATAAGACGGGCCTGAGGAACGTGATGATGAACCAGGGCTGTGATGCTTTCCACATTACCTGAAAAGAGGGGTCCAGTTGAGATATAAAGGCAAAACACAACTGGGTTTGGATTTGATGTCCTCACGTTTACAGGTGTGTCAATAGCAAGTACAGAAAGTCAACCAACTACAATCCACTGCAAAGGCAGTGCTGAGCATTAAAGTTATGTCCAACCTAAAACAGGTTCAGGGAGACTGACAATAAAGTTGGCAGATCACACCAGCACCTACAGTAATGGGAGTGAGGATGATCTTACCATCCAGCTGTCTGTCTGGGGCCTGACTTTCCTCCAGCTTGGATTTAAGTCTTGAACACTTGGAGCATTTACAGGAGCAATTTTGTGTGCAGTCACAGCTGGCCTGTAGGAAGGATAATACCACAAACTAATGCTCAAAAAAATTCCAAAACATAAAAAGAGTTTTCATCCGAAAGACTTCTTCTCAAAAGAGTTTGTTCAACATAGATGCATCTACAACTACAGCTGTGGTAAGAGTTTCCATTCACTCATTGTGGGCAAGAATGTTATAAGGTTTGGTGGCTTTTGTTAGTTGTTTTTTTTTTAACAGCTCTTGTTCCAGGGTAAAAATAAAAAAATTGGAAGGACACGTTTAAATTTATTGTAGATTATTTTATTCCATGCAGGATCAAAACCTGCAGCTGTCTACATCGACGAGCCAAATGTCCTCTGGAGGAAAGTTTGATGGTCAGATTAGACAATGTTGGACACAATGACAAGTAGGATGTTTGAAGGAGAAAAGGTGAGGCTTTTAAACCCAAGAACACTGTGCTAACGGTCAAACTGACAATCTGTCAAAGGTGATGGTGTCATACTGTGGCAAAAAGTGGATATAATGAAGAAGGACCATATTCAAATTCTTCAATTTCCCCTCAAACCAACAGCTGGATGGTTAACACTTGGACACAGTTGGGTGTTTAAATGATCTCAATTCAAAACTGGTTTCTAATTGGATACATCTGGCTTGCATTAAGCTTCTAGAATGGTTCTCAAAAAGCCCCAACCTCAACTCAAATGAAAATTGGTGAACTCTGCCTTAAAGTTGAGTCCATACCAACCAATATAAATGAACTCTACCAATTTTGCGAAGAAGGGTTGTCAAATATCAGCCAGAATTCTACCAGAAGCTTTTTGATGGATACAAAACCCTGAGATCCAGGAGACATTCACTCAGGGACAAATAACCTAATATTTGTGGAGGTGTATGGATACATTGGAGCCTGCGTGGATCAGATCAACTCCACTTGTGCGTGCAATTCTATTTTTTTTTTATATAACTGAAGCTGTATGTTGTATAAACCTTACACGATTGGCAAAAAATGGTTCAAATAAATTCTAAAAAGCCCCAAATTATGGTGACATTTGTGGCCAGGTTGGGTGCATGGAAACTTCTGACCACATCTATCCTCTTGTTTTTGCAAAAATCATCTTCCTCTCAGTTTTTTGTCATCCTTTTTCACAAAGAACATAAACTTTTTATATATATAAATTGTACTTGTTTCTTCCAGGAAAATATGTCTTTTAAGTATCTGGCTCCAAAACAACAGTCACAGAAGCATACAGAAAATTTCACTTTAACCTTCTTACCTTGAGAAGGTTGAGATTCATTTGGCGCACAAGAGTGAGGTAGAAGCCGGTGCCGAAACAGTTCTTGAGGAAGATGGGGGAACCACAACAGTGAAGACGACCCTGGGAGATGATAGCTACCCGATCACTCAGCAGGTCTGCCTCATCCATGTGGTGGGTGGACATGATCACTGTGCGTCCTTTAAAACCAGACATGAGGGGACACTTAAAGCGGTGTTTGTCTCAGCTGTAGTTCAACAAAAACTGATGAATGTGAAGTAAATCTGCTGTATACCAATCTACGGTTTTTATGTAATTTGAAGGCTTTCTGCAGAATACCTGTACGATATTTGAGCAGCAGGTCCCAAATCGATCGTCTGGAGTAAGGGTCCACTCCAGAAGTGGGCTCATCCAGGATCACCACCTTGGCTCCACCAACAAAAGCTAGGGCGACTGACAACTTCCTCTGCATGCCCCCTGGATTACAACACAAAAAGTGCCCAAAGTGCATGGATTGGTGTGTTTAAGGGTTTGATTTGAACAGTACATGTTCATTTGTATGTAAACATGTTTCCTAATAGACCTGAGAGGTTCTGGATCAGTTCAGCCCTCTTGTGGGGAAGACCCAGATCCTGTACCATGTTCTCTACCTCTTCCTCGGCCTCGGTGATCAAACGGCCTTTCATCAGCGAGTAGAAGAGAATATGCTCTGCCACAGTCATACTGAGAAGAAACACAAGGTTCTCACAATGACGACAGTATCCAGAACCACACTAACATTGAAGAATTTTAGTTATCTTGGAGAGATAGCCAGCTAGCTTATAAAAAAGCTCTCCATAAAGCTAGAACTTTATATTATTCATCTTTAATTAGTGAGAATTAGTTGATGTTTTTCTTAGTTCATATCTTAGATGTTATTACTGTTTTTCTTATACATTTTATTGTTGGATGTAACTGGGACCCTGTGTACATAATTTCGCTCCACCACATGTACCACATGAGGTGCGAATGACAATAAAGAATCTCTGACTCTGACTCTGAATAAAAATAACCCCAGGTTCCTTTTCAGCACCATATCTAGTTTAATGAACAATCCCATCTCTGTTTAACCATGTATCCCAACAACTATAAGTAGTGATGAGTTCATGAGATTCTTTATAAATAAAATAATTTCAGTTAGGGAGAAAACTCAAACCATCCTTCCTACTATTGCCTCTGGTTCCCTATCAGTTGAGGCAACTTTAAAAATGTCATGAGAACCGGATTTATGTTTGGACCGGTTTCGTCCTGTCGAGATCTCTGAATTGTCAAAAATAATAGCTTCATCCAAGCCATCAACATGACTGCTAGATCCCATCCCAACCAGACTGTTTAAATAGATATTTCCCTTAATTAATATCCACATTTTGTATCTGCTTAATTTATCTCTAATGAATGGTTACCTACTTCAGTGCTTGTTCAATAATTTCCTGCAGGATCAATCTTATCTTATCTTATCTTGTCTTATCTTAAAAACAGCTGTAATTAAACCTTTATTCAAGCAATAAAATACCGACTCAGAAATCCTGGCCAATTTTAAACCTGTATCTAATCTAACTTTCATCTAAAAAAATTCTAGAGAAAATAGTTGTAGGTCAGTTGCGTGAACATCTACAAAGAACTAATCTGTTTGAGGAGTTTCCATCAGGGTTTAGAGCTCATCGTAGCACAGAAACAGCACTTGTGAAAGTTACCAAGATATTCTCATGGCCTCAGACAATGGACTTGTGTCTACACTGGTCCTGTTAGACCTCAGTGCTACATTTGATACAGTTGATCACAATATTCTGTTACAGAGGCTTTAATATGATGTTGGGATTACATGAACCATTCTAAAATGGTTCGAATCATATTTATCTGATAGATTCCAAATTGTAAATGCAAATAATGAATCTTCTTCATACACGAAAGTTAGTCATGGAGTTCCTTGGGGTTCAGTGCTTGGACCAATACTCTTTAACTTATATATGCTTGCATTAGGTAATGTTATTACACAGTATGGGATGAATTTTCATTGTTATGCTGATGATACACAGTTATATTTGTCTATGAAACCGAATGAATCCAATCAGTTACTTAGACTACAAGCATGTCTTAAAGACATAAAAACCTGGATGACCCTAAATTTTCTGCTTTTGAATACAGACAAGACTGAGGTTTTGCTTTTGGACCTTTCCATTGTTACGACCACCCAACCTCAGCAAATCCTCAATGACCACTATCAGACCCCTTTAACATCTGATAATGTTGTCTAGTGGGTCTATGAGACGTCCTCTCTGTCTTGTAGTCTCAGCTTCTCACAAATAAAATTAATATACTCATTGTTGGTCTGTGTGTAGACCAAACTACATCCAAATTACACAATTCCTCTTTAGTATTTATCTTTTTTTTGTCAGTGAGTGTGCTTAGATTAAATGTATTAAAAGGTTCATACTACTGAAAAAGGATGTTATGTTGAGGGCACATTCCCAGAGAAGTACGAATGTCATCCATGTTCGTGCGGATGTCCTTGCCATAAATGGTGGCTGTCCCAGTGGTGGGAGGATACATTCCTGTCAAGATGGACCTGAGAGAACGAGAAGATAGACCTTAAGGTGTTCAGCATATATGTGTACCCTTGTAAACATGGCATCCATCTAACACACATACATAGTGGTGGTTTTTCCAGCTCCATTGTGGCCAAGAAATGAAGTAATCTGGCTCTCATAGAAGTTTATGCTGAGACTATCAACAGCTGGTCTGGAGGAACCTCCGAACACTTTGACCAGATTTTGGATACAAACTCCCTTCACCAGATCTGTTGGCTCTGCCTCAAATAATGACTGTTCTGTTGAAAGTGAAAACACTTTTTGTTAATAGTCCATCTGAATCACTCTGAATACGTTTAGACATGAAGTTCCAAGAGGATGAAGCAGAAATACATTTTGTTTCCTAAATGTGATGAGAAAGGAACAATTGGGCTACTGGAATGTCAACAAAGGTTCCATTGATTAACAAACTAGGCATGAAGTTGAGAGACAGGCAATTCACATAAACCGCCAAGTGCAAATACACACAAGGATGATGAGTTTCCACAGAACTGAATCCTGGGATCAGCCCATTGCTTGTACTAATATTTACCGTACTTGTATGTAAAATAAGTTATGATTTGTTCATCTATTCTAAGTGTCATGTGGGGAAATTGTGAACAAACTCATTATACCATGGTCCTCCGGGTTCTCCTCAGGCTCAGTCTGGTTCTCCTTCCCAAGCGTCCGATCCTGGTGCTCACATGAAGATGACTTGAGGATGTCCTCCTCTGTTTTGGGTTGGGTCTGGTTTTCCCCCTCTGCTTTGTTCTGAAGCTCTCCTTGTTCCTTGTTCACCAGGTTATCAAAGCCTTTTTTCTTCAACTCCATCTTGTCATTGCCTGTTAGAAATGGGGCAAACATTTTGCCAGGTGACAAATGTTTAGCAGTCTTGTTAAAAGTGATTCCCCATTTTTAATGTTTGGGGATTATTTTTCTATTTTTGTCATCGTTTTTGACCACGCTGAAGTTTTATAACTGTTTTTTTAATTAACCAAAGTGTGACTCTTCATATTAAATAGAGCTGTCTAAAGCTTTCAAACAATATTTTACTTGTACAATCTGTGCATTTCTTATACAGTTTATACATAAAACGTAGGCATTTTTGTCTTCTTCCACCCAGTGTCTGCCTCACTGCTACAGAATGGATGGTTTTCTCTGAAATCCTCCAGAATCCAGAGTGCACACCTAAACTCTCAATGACTCACATTGTATCTGAGTTCAGCGTTTGTCTTTTTAAAACCTGCTATATCTCCTATCAAATGCACAATGTATTAATTACATTTAAGCACATGGACTCCTGAACATCCAACACATAGTTTGAACAAAAGTACATTTTTTTTGTACCTGAAGATGGAGTGATGCTGTTGAGCCAATAACAGGGCAGGAAGGGAAAATAAAACGGACGACCAATTCCATACTGTCCTAGGATGACAAGCAATTGAAGAAAATACATTAGCATATTTTAAATGTTGTGTTTTCATAAAGTAACATCTTGATTTCTCCCCAGTGCACTGACCAGGGAAGACATTGTCCAGGTACCAGGCTAGGACAGCGTATAGCGCCGTGTCCAGACACATCATGCAGATGGAGGTGAGGAAGGAGAACTCGTCTCCCTCCAGGGGGCTGGTCTGGATGTTGTCCCACTGCAGACCCATGCCTTGCTCCTCGTAGCGGGATAGATACTCTGTACCGAAGCCAAACGCCACTTGGGACAGCAGGCTCTGAGTGAGGAAGGAAGGGAAAAAACAACTTAAAATGAAACTAATCTTTATTGAAGGAATGTATATCCTCTGCCACTTTTCAAGATAATGTATTAAGATCTTAGTTGACCCATTAGTACTCTGAGTACGCTTTAGCGATGATGCTCAGCTACTACCACACCATATTAGAGCTCAAGTTTTATAAAACGGGATGTGTTAAAGATATTTTTGTATTTGCTAAGGTTGGTTGTGCAGCAGTCTTGCAGCACATATGTTTACAGTAAAGATATTCAGGAAATGGATAATGATTTTGGGGAGGAGTTTTTAGCATAACACTCATATTCTGACAAGAAAAATACCAAGTTCTCAATAGCTATCTCTTAATTTACTCATCCTATTCAAAATAAGGGATGAATAATAATGCTTTTCTTATAAAATTACCATATTTTTCGCCGTACAGTTCACAACGCCCTATAAGTCGATACTGCTCGAGTGCCATCTAGTGACTGAAAATGGTAGTGTTCAATATTTTTCGTCAGAATGAATGAAAACGGTCGTAACTCAGCCAAAAATTGGTTTATAAATATGGGAATGAAATCCATAAATACGTCGCTTTGGCATATAAGTCGTAGGGCATGCAAATTATGGAAAAAAAAGTGACTTATAGGACGAAGAATACTGTAAGCAGATTTGTTCAAAACATTGAATAAGTGTAGCCACCCACCACTAAGATCTTGGTGTCTTTGGTGATGCTGTCCTGCCAAGCGAAACAGAAGATGTGGGGCAGGTAGAGGCTGAAATAGACGATGCCGCTGCAGGCTGCCGCTAAGTTAGCCTGGTTGAAGAACACGCTCAGGAGGAAGCATTGCATGATGGTAGCTGTAGTGAAGGTGAGCAGAAACAGGAACAGAATGACAGGGTTGCTGTAGTTCAGAACCCTTCCTCCCTGGAGACAAAAATAATACATTTTATTTATTATTATTAAATGTTAAGCAATTCAATTTTCTTTTATCTCCATGTAAAGGTCTGTGCAAAAGTTTTACACCACCACTAATCTCTTTATTGCAAATGCGAAAATAGAGTGATAATGTTTTGTAAGTGCAAGAATTATATAACTCTACAACTCATTAAATTTTGGAGTCAACCTGATTTAAAAATTAATTCACGTTTGTTATTTGCACTGTATCTAATGCTTTTGAGTAAAGAGCACAACTTTACTGTATTTGTATTTTTGTTCACAAACTGTGGGTATTTTCATGAAAAATGTTGTTTTGCACAAAATGCCCACAAGTAGTCGAATGAGCCCACCGTGCTACAGGGCCTGATGTCTCAGAGGTACTGTTACTGATTTCTGTTAATCACTGACAAGCCTGTTCCTGCAAGTCCTACAGAACTCTGCAGTCGTTCTCATGATGTCATGGTATCCACATTTTCTTCCCTTAATCATTTACAGAGAAAGTTTCCACTAAGTTAGCTATTAATATCAGTACAATTTCAATGAAAAAGAGGAATGATTTACTGCAACACAGGCTATTTATTGACGTTCACAGTTTATCTAGCTTGAACAATGGTGGACAGAAACAAAGACTAGGTGTTTCTGGTGAAGTAATGAATAATTTATCAGTGTATAAATGAGGAGAGGTGATAAAGAACAGATGAAGCCTTCCGGATCGAAGGCAAAACGTTTCAGCACAAAAAAAGAAACTGTCCAGATGACCTGACTGAAAAATGTTGGATAAAGAACAGAGTTTTGTAAATTTCTCACCATGATGATGGCTGTTAGGAGGGCCGTGCTGATGCCCATCATGAAGAAGCTGTCAATGAACCAAGTGGACCAAAGGACACCGCTGGTGACCCCCATGGTCTTCAAAGTCTCCTTCAAGCGGAGCTCCTTCTCCAGAACGATGCTCTTCACGATCATGGACGCGGAGTAGACCCAGGCCAGGACCATGAAGATGGGGAAACAGCGGTTCAGTGTCAGCATGAAGCTGGAGAAAGACAAAAATATACAATAACCATCATTTTTCATTGTAATTTTTTAAATTAACGCAGACACTAATTAACTCTTTAAGTTTGTGCTTTGACTTTACTCTTAAAACTGAAAGCTTCTTTAACGTGTCATATTGTCAACAGGAATCATTGTACAAACATCAAAATGCACACTTATACCCACCAAAACATTCTCCTATTCCAAATTTAAAAATATGTTCAATACAACTCGTCATTTTCTCGCAGCAGCTGTTTGTTTGAGGGTTTATTTCCCCCTCCTCTCAATACCACGGAAAAGGTGGGAATCACCATGGCAACCAGTGACTCAGCAGATTCTGCATCATGGAATTTTATATTATTCAGTTTTTTTTTTCTACAATTTCTTCCCTTGAATCTTGTATATTTTGAGTGATTTTGTCCAGATTAGAACGTTTATTAGAACATCACTCACAGATCGTCCACGTAACAAGGATAGGGCATCTGCTGAAGGTAAACACCCAAAGGCCACTCTTTTCCTGTCTGCGTCCTGATGACCCCATGCTCTACGATGTCCTGAAGGTAAGCAAAGCCACCCCACACATAGCGGAGGTCGTCCAAAGGATCAGCTCTAGGGCCTGGGTCCCAGTACCTAAAAAACAGACATGTTCAGTAAAAACACGCTTCATCTTTGAGCTAAACATCATTTTCTCTAGAGGTGGTTTCTAACCTGTCTTTGACTTTATTGGTGCGTTCCACTGTGTCGATATCCATACGGATCTTGAACTTGACATGAGGCGGGACACTGCTACTCCAAGGGTACATGTTGATGAAAACAAGACCTGCCCAGAACTTGCCTTCTTCCAACAGGCCCAAGGCCTGATGGGTAACAGCGTCTTCATCGGGCAGAGCCACAAATTTATCAAGAATCAAACACTAGAAGAAGGAATAAAAAAAGACAGAGGAAAACAGATGAACAAGTTAAATTAAAGAGTAACATTTATTTATCAGTGAAATTATAACATTTTCTAATGGCAATGACAAGGCTAGCTCATTTAGCATGTAGGCACTTTGGCTTTTTACATCTAAAATGGAAAACAAGTAAAAATTTTGAGGTGATTTCAATTAATTTTGGGAAAAACTTTCTACTTTCAACTAAGTTAAAATTTGGGAAATGTCAAGTTTGATTCAGTAATGGTCAGTCAGGTCACCTGGACCGTTTTTTTTTTTTTTTTTTTTTTGTGGATAGATGTTTCCCCCTCTATCCGGAGGGCTTCATCAGTCTGAGGAGTCCCAAGTAAACTGTTTTCCCCACCAACCAGTACACTCCTTTAGTGGACCAACAAGTTTGCTGATGATAAGATGGTTTCTGGGGGCTGTCCTGTCCCCTGTTGACTCCTTCCAGGCATGCAGTCACATCCAAAGTGGTTCAAGACATCAAAGTGCATGCGCAATCATCCAAAATCCAGTAATGGTCATTCAGGTCATCTGGACAATTTCTTTTTTGTGGAAAGACATTTCGCCCTCTATCCAGAGGGCTTCATCAGTCTGAGGAGAAACCAGACTGAAACCAGAAACCATCTTTTCACCAGCGTGCTTGGTCCACTAAAGGCGTGTAATACTTGGTGGGGAAAACAGTTTACTTGGGACTCCTCAGACTGACGAAGCCATTCGGATAGAGGGCGAAACACCTTTCCACAAAAAAAAAAAAAACTGTCCAGGTGACCTGACTGACCATTATTGGATTTTGTACCTGGATGATTGAGCATGAAGTTTGATATCAAGTTTGATTCTGGCCCAAATGACAAGCTAACTGCTAATCTAAGTAGGGTCATGTCCAAGGTGGATTCAAACAACAATTAGCAAGCAGAAATAGTAGCAGCAGCAGCAGTTAGTTGTAGCACTTCCTTTCTATTCAAGAGCACTTTCTGCTAGAATATTATATCTGCTAGGTAGAACAGCAATTTTCTGCCTTTAACAACTCTATTCTTCAAAATTTCATAGTAATTATACAAACACTATTATTAAACTTTTACACCAACATCATATTTATCTTACATTGATTTGTATGCATAAATATAACATAATATTCCTGCAATAAGTGGCCCAAAGCTGCACAGGAAGTGCTCCAACCAGCTGTTGCTTCCTCTATTTAAGCTTGCAGCTTATGTTTAAATGACCATGAACTGCAAAAGTGATAGTAGATTATAAGTTTTCATGAACCACTGTGAATTTTTGAAAATTAAAGGTGTTTTAAGTTGGAAGCAGTGCACTTGTCCTTGGATTGACCAGATTTTGTCAGTCCTGTCAGGCTCAAATTCCTTTTCTCCCAATTCCAAAGGTCCAAACTTTCTTTTTAAGTTTCCCAGACAATGTTCATGGAAACGGTTCAGAAAAACAACCAAATATTAATGAAACCGTCTTGGGTTTATCCTTTAGGTGACATGAACATGTGAATATTTCATAAGAAACTGTGATTGGTGAGGTATTTTAGTTTGGGTAGAAGCCTTGGACAGACTGACAACCTAAGAAAAGCCCAGAACCACCAGCGTTGGCCCACGACTCAAAGAACCTTGCACATTTGCAGCGGTGTTTGTCCCTTCCCTGAAAAGCGTATCTGATAAAGCCATTCACAGAAAGCTCATGCAAATAAGGAGGGCTGTGATCCAAAAGAAATCAGTCCAAAAGAGCTTTTTACCACCGCTGACACCCTCCAAAATCCAAAACACACACAAACACAATTTGCTATGCAAACACAGTTTAGCGTAGAAAACAAAGGCCATGATGCACTTTAACAATTTCACACTTAACGTGTCCAATAAATGCTTTACATCTAAAAGACTATCTTTTAGTCCACCTAGGTGAACACTGACAACCATGCTGGGTGGTGTGATATGCATTGCTGCCACCAACACGAGGCAGCCAACCATTCGCTCAGAGTCATTGTTGTCTCTTTATAAAGAATATCCAATGGAATGACAGCTGTATCTAATCAGCCTTGGTGGTTCCCTCTCTCCCTGTCAAACTCAAGTGTAAGCTTCAACTGGGACGAAAACAACTCTTACCAACCCTTTATCCAGCCTAGTGCCCAGGTACGCCCCATGCCAACCCACCACCCCTTCAGTGCAGCAAGCCCTTCATTTTGATCAGCCTCCATGGAGAAAGAACCAAAGAGGCAGTTTTACCTTTGTTTTAAATGTTTAAAATGTACAAACCAGCAGAAAAGTGGACAGCCCTCACAAGAAACTGTATTCTTTGTTTTGGTTTTAATCTCCAATCAATCATCAGCCTTCTAACTCTTGCTTAAACCCAACTGAGTGGATTTTCACTTATCTGGACAGGGGGACAAATTATAGAGACAAAAGCACAGTTTAAGTACTTCAATACTCTGGTACCAGGAAAAAGAGCTAAAAAAAAATAGTGTGCTTAATTGGATTATTTCATGAATAACCCAGTGCTGGAGCTTGACATTTTAAAGCAAAACAGTCCACATTCTTACTGTCAAAGTTTAAAAAGAGAAAAGGTAAACACTTTTGGCATAAAACTAGCCTTTCTTAAAAAATGTATATCAACTGCCACCTTGCATGCCAGTTTTAAACAAAAATCTCAGATTATCTGTTATAACTTGGAGTATGTGTTGGGGAGCACTCATTACCCAAACATCAGATTTCAACTTCATATCTGTAAAATTGATAGAAATAGCTATTTTTGTGTTTAATAGGGTTGATCAGCTGTGGCGATTAAAGAAGGCATGTAACCAAAACTAATTAAGGCATTTAAACCATTTAGGGGAAAGTACCCTGGAATATCTTGACATTCAAGTTTGAGCTCATCTCATCCAAAGAGCACCTCAACTGGACCCACACTGAATCCAGGAGGGGCCACAAATATTTGGTTTAGAGAAGCTGTCTAAATCTCTGGCATGAAAGGCAGCAAGATTTTATCAGAGAATTGTACAAAGTATGAGTGAAACTGTGGCGGTGTGTCCAAACCTAAATGAAAGATCGAAGAACCATAAAAAGGATATCTAAATGCCACTCACATCCCCATACTGGTTGAGCATCCGGATAACTCGGTCCGTGAGGTTGAAGAGGTCTCGCCAGTCAAAATCAGGCATGTCGTTCTGACGGTCCTCTGGTGGTCCGTTGTGCAGGAAGTTGAGAATGTGTTTGGAGGAAAATGGCGTCTCTTCCAGACTCCTGTCGATGAAATCCATCACAGATGGATTGTGGATAATGTCCTGAAGGAAAGATCACCAGTGAGGAGTGAAAACTTCTGCAACCCACTGTAAATAGCCAAGGTTTGCAACAGTCAGAACAAGCAATAAAAGATGGGCAGTGGTATAAATGAAGTTGGGCTGGAAAGAAGGGGGCTGCGGTAGCTTGACCATCAGTGCTGTGGTTATGTAACCCTGAGGTTGTGGGTTTGAGCCCAGGCTGCGTCAGGAAGGGTATCCGATGTAAAACAAATTGCCAAATCTTTCTTGTGAGTTTGCTCGCTGTGGCAACCGCTGAAGAAGGGAGCAGCCAAAAGAAACTTACTTAGTGGTAAAAATGAAGTGGGTAAAATACAAAGGTATATGAAGATAAGATAAACCTCCACATATAACCAAAAATTATCTTCAGAAAATGTAAAAATATAAAAGCTTAGGATAAAATAACTTTATTTATCACCCAACAAAGTTCAGTCAGGTCATCTGGATGGTTTCTGTTTTTTGTTGAGACGTTTTGTCCTTCATCCAAAGGACTTCATCAGTCCAAGGAGCCACAAACAAACTCAGTCCCACAAGCAGCACGCTCATAGCGGACCAACCAGTTTGTTGGTGATAAGATGGCCTCTGGGGCCTGCCCTCTCCCCTGTCGACTCCTCTGAGGCAGCCATAGCCAAAGTGGTTCAAAACATCAAAGTTCATGCTCAATAATCCAGGTAAAAAAATCCAAAAATGTTCAATCATGTCATTTTTTTACCTGGACGATTTCTTTTGTTGTTGTTGTTGTTGAGAGGTTTTGTCCTTCATCCAAAGGACTTCATCAGTCCAAGGAGTCACAAACCAACTCAGTCCCCAGTCAAGTGGGCTGCTTGTGGGACTGAGTTTGTTTCTGGCTCCTCAGAATGATGAAGTTCTTTGGATGAAGGATGAAATGTCTCAACAAAAAATAAACTGTCCAGATGACCTGACTCAACTTTGCTGGATTATTTTTTTAACCTGGATTATTGAGCATGAACTTTGATGTTCATTTATCACCATTTTGTATTAAATATCTTCTGGGTGGCAGCCACAAGACAGATCATCATCTTTCACCACTCATGTCTCGTGAAATTATTGTTTGTGCTGCAAAATGACAAAACTACTATTTTCATTCAACCAAACTGCGCTGTTGTCCCACCCGAATCATCTTGACTTGGACTCCATCTTGAAAAAAAGCCCAGATCTGGGGAGCCACTTCCTCCCAGGCTTTCCCCATCGTCCTCAGCCTTTCCAGCTCCTCAAATGTGGTGTTTGCCTAAGAACAGAAATAAAAGATGTGAAGTCAAATATGGAACAATTTCACTCGCACTGAGTTTACGGAAGAGGTTGTTGGCAGGTGGACACCAAAGGGGAACCCAGGGGAGGCAATGGCCCTCCCTTGGATTGTGCTATACCTCAACTAGTTTTACAGATACTTAACTAAAATTTGGTGTCGTAGTAGCTGAAAGTGATTCCCCTCTCATACTTTGAGCGCTAACATGTCAGTGCTATCAGGTGTTTGCTTAAGACTTGGGCATAAAAGACAGCCAGTGATACGCATTCCTTCAAAAACTGTTAGTTTCTTTTTGTCCCCTGTTGCAAAGAGAAGAGGCAAATTTTAAATCCTGCTTTTCGTGCTCTCCATCCTGTGAGCTAGGTAACTTGAAAAATAATTGAAATTCTGATTTTCGTTTTGGTGTGTGTCTGCATCTAGATCACTATCAAAAGTTGGGTTGCCACATCAAAATTAAAACTGGCCGCTACCATATATATGTAATCCAGCCACCCTAATCATCTGAGGAAACTATGCTTTCTAGTTTTTATATTGCTTAGAAGTATAGCTGTCTCAAATGATTTGGGTAGCCAAAGATTGATCTGTGGTGGTCAAGGCCACCATTGGCCACCTCCTGGCTCCACCATTGCACCAGATGGGGGATAAAATTGCTTGAATATCTTGCACCAATCCCCATTCTGCAGTATTTTTGTAATAGCCAATTTGGTTTAGCCAATGGGCAGCACGGTGGCGCAACTGGTAGAGCTGCTGCCTCTCAGCGAGCAGGTCCTTGGTTCAAACCTCGGTCCAGGGACCCTTCTGGGTGGAGTTTGCATGTTCTCTCCGTGCATGTGTGGGTTTCCTCCGAGTACTCCAGTTTCTTCCCACAGACCAAAAACATGCATGTTAGGCTGATTGATAACTCTAAATTGTCCCTAGGTGTGAGTGAGAGAGTGAATGGTTGTTTGTCTCGTTTGTCTCTATGTGGCCCTGTGATGGACTTGCGACCCGTCCAGGGTGCACCCCGCCCCTCGCACAGTGATTGCTGGACATGGGCACCGGCGACCCCCGTGACCCAAAATGGAATAAGCGGGTAAAGAAAATGGATGGATGGATGGTTTAGCCAATTTGGTTTTGTTGTTCCATCCAAATGTTATCAACAACCCCATAGAAAAGTTTCCAGAGATGCCAGAGAGGCAGGGGCGGGGGGTGGGAGAGAGACACACACCCAATCCAAACGTCAAACACACACACAGTCAGCCACACAACTCCTAACCTCCTGCTTACATACCATTCCCACATTAGACTTTGTGAAAACCAGCTTTGCAAAAACAACACGCGCATTCACACACAAAACATTCCCTCGAGCCTTTACAGATAACCTGAAACACATGCTTTCAGTGCCAAATCGTCAAATATTTACTGCACGCTTATCGCTCAAACCCTGGGATGTGTACAGTGCTTTGTGTGGCGCGGGCCCAAGGTTGGCTCTTTCAGCATTCAGCCATGTGCAGTGGGGGATGAAAGCACTCAAGAGTACACCCAATTAAACGCCTTCCTCTTGTGTGTGTCTGATTCCGGGTGACAATGGGGACAATGGAGCTGGGGTGACAATGGAGGCCGTTGGTGACAACCGGCTGAATGAGTTTGGTGAATCCCAGAGAGGTTCCCACAAATGAGAGCTTCCTCGTTCCTTGAGGCGGTTGCAAACAGCGAGCAACTGGAGCATTCTGAGAGAGGTTTCGTCAGAGAGAGTCAGACCTGAGATGCTGGTTATGAATCAGTTTAAGTAAGAATTAATTAATTAAGGGTGCCACAGTATAAACTTTGAGGTACTAATTAATAGATCAGAAAATGTACCTATTTACAACAATGGGATTTTGACTATTCGAGTGATAAAAGCTTGAAGCTCTGTAGCTCAGACAGACCTCAGCAGAAATATCATTTAAAATTTAAACGAGACTCAGAAAGTTGGACTTTTCATGGCTGAACTGGTATTTTGACATCAATGATTTTGACACAATCAAAGTTACAGTTTTATAATTTTGCAACCATTTATTATAGAATGTTCACCTTAAAGTTTGATGATTTGATGACTTCGGAGCAAACAAATTCCTCTTACGTCCACAAAATTTACATTTGTTTTTTACAGTTTAGACAATAAAATATAGGTACCTTCGTTTAACCATTGTGTCTCCGATATACTGCAGCAAAAGACTTCCTAAATCTGAAATCTTTGTTTTCCACTTGATTTTCTTACATGTTTGAGGAATAGTTTGAATGCAGTGTATTTAGTTGTATGCAATCTACCACTTCACCACTAGATGTCACTAAACCTCGCAACACGGTACACCCTGGACAGGTCGCAAGTCCATCACAGGGACTCCTTTAGAAGTTTTTTTTATTTATTTACTAGCACACCAATAATGAAAAATTGTTTAACCACATAGGACAAACTGTAGCTGTCAACTGTGATAAAAACAGGTGTCGACAGGACACAGATAAGATCTGGCTGCAGGGATCAGTATTCTACCGGAGCGGTCACATGAGACCACAACGTACCTTTCAAATGGTTCCTCGATAAACTCTGATGGATGACATGAGAGCAGACAGAAGCTGTGATTCTTCTAAAGTAATGGATTAACCTTATGCTCATTACTTTCTCAGTGCAATTAAGATTCTTTCTAAGAAGAGGAAGACAAAGGGGTTATTAAAGGCGAGTTTGGAGGATGTGTGTCTCGTCTTTGAGGAGAGACTTTGGTGGAAGTCCTCGGCGCCAGTGGACTGTGCTGCAGCCGCCACAGTCGAACCGCTTGCGTTCATCCATTATGACCAACCCATCCATGACTGCTCCCCCAACCCACCTCGCATCTTTAAGGCTTTGACGAACACTTATCTCCGTCTAGATACAAAAGGCTGGACACGACATGAAGAAAGCTGATCCCATTGTTCACTGTGTCAGAGTCTCTGCTCCAAAGAAAACCAAAGATATGGACGTCACCAAGGAGCAGAATAGATGTACGGTGGTCATTCATCTAAACCAGACGTGGGCAACATACAGCCTGAGGACCAAAAGTGGCTCTTGGACAATCTCCATCTGGGTCCCAAAACTCTTAATTGAAAAGAAAACAACTTTTGTAAAGGTCCATGAAAACATAAGGAAGTTTAAATTAAACAATACATAAAAACCTTTGGAATAAGGCTTTTTTTGTGTGTGTTTCCAGAACTAGACTGAACCTTGAAGACTCCAGAACTCAAAGATATTACTTTTCCCCATATTTAGGCTAATATATCCTCACAAGAGCTATTTTACAGAAAGTATATCTTTTATATCTACAGTGTATTGTGGGGACATATTTTATTAAGCAAGCTATGCTATGCTACGCTACAACAAGAAAATGCTAGAAAACCTTTTTTTTTTAAAGATATTGCGTCTTAATAAAAATGTATTTTGCAACTCTCTATGCTGCCTTTCTATTGCTTTACATATTTTGATTTGGCCTTTTGGAAAAAATAGTTGCCCACCCCTGATCATAATTGAGTATTTTTTTTTTTAAATACTGTTTTTGCTCCTCAGTCCTGGGGAAACTTGGCTCTCCAAGTTCTACCAAGAATTTAGCCCCACCACATTTTGCCAATCAGCGATGAAGGCGTATTAGACACATTTAACAGCTTAATTCAGATTTTCTGAAGTGAAGTTCAATGGAGTGGTTCTTATCAATTAACATCTTACCTGTTCTAGACAGCTCAAAGTGGATTGCTGCTCCAATCTCTCTTAAAGTGTTTTATAATCATTTTCACTGCAGGCACTCAAATTATAATGATATTACTTACATTATTTCAAATTATACAAAGCATAAATAGCAGCAGCAGCCACTAGCTGTAGCACTTCCCACAGAAATATCATATTTTTTTCTTGGAATAGCAATTTGTAAAATAGATAGTGTAAAATTAAAATAAAATAGAAAACTGTCACCTTCACTAAATGCTTATTAATACAAATTGGTATTTTGTGTTTTTAAGCAATTTATAAAACAGCAGCCAAAAAAAAACTTTTAAAGAATGCATGTAAACAATGCAAAGCAGGAGTACAGATAAGCATTTTTGTGCTCTTTTGGTGTTTAAGGCCTAGTCGACTATTTTTTTTAACTGTTATGTTGTCTATAGGACAATGTTTCCATTGACTGCTATAAAATATTTTGGATTTAAGTTATTTTAAGATGGCTGACATAGCCTTTGAATCAATCCCAGCTGGACCTAGCCATTATTAGCTTGTCACTTCCTGCAGAAACATTAAATATTCTTGCTGGAATGTAAAATTGACGGTAATGCAATAGTTTAAAACACAGCAATTTTATGAATTATGAAATTTTAGATATCAGAGTTGTTTCAAGACAGTGGCGATCCATTTTGATCCAGTTGCTTACATTTCGTACAATCTGCCTGGCAGCCGGTGAGTCCGGAGCATAGAGGATGCGTCCCATCAGCATCGGCTTCACAGACTTCCAAATGATCCTGGTGGCGGGGTTGGACTCCAGCTCTTTCATCAAGTCATTGCAGAAAGGAGCTGGGAAGGAAAGAAGATGTTAAAAACATTATTTCAGCACAAAACTAAACATCTCTCTGAGGGATAATGAACTCACTGGTGCTGTTGTCGTACGTGTAGTCGCCCTCAGCCCCGCCGCTGCTGATACCCAGGAAGGCTTTGTAGTTGTTGTCCTCGTACCAGTTGAAGGACGTGACCCGGGAGAAGGCCCCCTCTGTGTAGCCGCACACCAGGCTGGAGGCGGCGGACATCACCTGCCTGAAGGACAGGTTCTTCTGGAGGAGAGGAGTCACCACCTGGATCAGCTCCTCGAAGCTGCTCCTGCAGAACAACTGAGGAGAAAACAGGCGTAAAGATCAAATCCTCTGAAGCGGGGCTCTGCGGGAAGGTTGTGAACAATTAACATCTTACCTGCTGCAGTTAGCTCTTTGGACGACCTCAGTTTGGAGACATAGACATTCTGACCAGGCTGACAGACTTACAGCTAGTCTGAGCAGGGCTAGTCTTGGAAACAGCCATATAATTCTAAGTGAACAACCACGTAAAGTGAAGTTTATAAAATAACTCTTTCATGAACGGCTGGGAACATTTAAACACACTCAGACTAGCCTTTAGCTCTTCAAACAAGCAAAATGAAACTATGTTTTTCCAAACTGAGGCCGTCTTAAACAGGTAAGATATAAGTTGTCCACAGAACTCTACTTTAAAAGATCTGAACTACTGCTTTAATTAAGAGAATATAATGTAGTGACCTTTAAAGCTAAAGACATTCTGGTAAATTTAAATCCAGTCCAGCTACTGAGGGCCAAACTGGGATTTATCTGAAAGTGGATGAATCACAACTTAATTAACGTAAAATTTTCCTTATGTAAATTCCCAAAGAAACTATATTAAGATCAAGAAGAAGATGAAGGAAAGGAAGGAGAGAAACAAGAAGAAGGAAAACTGTGTCAAAAAGACTAAAGATCCTCGTCATTAGATTAAACAGAGCCGTCAGCCGTACACAAGCCATGAAGCCAGAAGAAGATAAAGGTGAAAGAGCAAAAAAGTATAAAAAGAGAAGGTGAAGAACCAGAAGAAAAAAATGGGAAAAGAAGAAGGAAGAATAGAAGAGGAAGGAGGAAGAGTAAAAGAAGAAGAACAAAAAACAAGAACAAGAAGAACAAGAACAACAAAAAGAACAAGAAGAACAACAACAAGAACAACAACAAAAAGAAGAAGAACAACAACAACAAGAAGAAGAACAACAACGAAAAGAAGAAGAACAAGAAGAAGATATGGTATGCACTCATTTTTGGATCCTGAAAAAATGAAAGTGGGCCAAACATCAAATTCATTTAGAAATCAACTTCTTGTAGCATTTTAGCCCTAACTATTACATAAACATAAAAACATGGATAAAAATAATATAATTACTGACAAAGTTCTTAAATATGTAACAGTCCAGATTTGAACCAGTAACAGATTTGAACCAGTAACATGGAGGACATGAGCTTTTATTTTGTTGGTTTTAATGATGAAAAACGTGTATTGCCCTCTCTTCTTTGAAGAATTTGACCTCCTTCCTGCTCTGCTTTATGAAAAAGAACCGAGTTGAATAGATCTTCTGCTTCAAGTCCTGGCAGAGATAAGCATCTGAACAACAGGATGTCTCACTAATGTCTCATGGAAACAGTTACATCTAGAATAAATGTAAAACTAGACGGCAGCTGCAGAAAAACTCAAATCCTGATATTTACCCACCATTCGCAGCTGGTAGATGGGACTACACTGACCCTGGCATTAATGCTTAAGAATGCAGATGCAGAAAATGTGCATAGGCAGAAAAAAACGATTAGTTTAAACAGATAAACCTGTCGCTGCAGAGTGGGTCATTCAGTGATGAGATATCCGTCTTATTTTATGTTCAACGAGTCTTCCTCTTACTCGCAGGAAAATATCTCCCCACTGTCTGTTTACGTAAAAACTCAGGCAAGAGGAAGCAACTGTTTCCTGCCAGCTAAAATTAGGAAGCGGTGAACTTTTGAATGGGAGCTACCAAAAAAATAACAATAATTAAAATAATCACAATAACGTCTCTTTTACCTCTTGCAGTTTGTCTGAGGCGTCAGAGACAACCCGGACCCAGAAGCGAATGTTGATGCCATCGGAAGACTCGTCTAGAACGCGAGGGAGCTACGAGGAAACACAAATTTGAGTTAAATTAGTTACGTTTTGCTAATTTTCCTTCGCATTTAAGTGAAAATATTTAAATTTTAACAGTGAATCGGCAGCAGTGCCTCAATTTTCACAAACCGAAAGGTCTTCCAAACAAAAATGTAAGGATTGAAACAATGTTTAAACATGCGAGTTGTAAAATTTGGTTAAAACTGCATCCAGTAGAGTCACCATGGTAACCACACACCCGTGTCTCTCACTCCCTGATTGTACTCGAGAGAGGCAGACGAGTCGAAAGACCCTTCACTTCTTGTTTTGAAGAAGAACGAGCTAAGACAGACGTTTGTGGCTTTTGATGGGATTTGAGAGAAAACCACCAGTTTCATAGCAGTGAGAGACGTACGGTAGGTGATAAAGGACAAAACTGTTTATGTCTGGATTTATAACTTGTATATGAACTAAAGAAAAGTGGTGAGAAGCAAATGGCATGACATCCTAGATGCTAATAAGTTGAGCATTCGATGGAAAAATCTCCATCTATCCATCTTGTTCTGGAGTTGGGAGGTCCAGACATCTCTTTCCGATGACACCTTCTCCAGCTATTCTGACCAGCTGAGAGACATAGTTGCTTCAGCATGTCCTGAGCCATCTCCGGGGTTTCCTCCTAGTCAGACATGCCTGTAGAACCTCCCTAGGGACATGTCCAGGGTCCATCCTTACCAGATGCCTGAACCACCGCAACTGGCACCTCTGGATGTGGAGGGGCAGCAGCTATACTTTGAGTCTCTCCTGGAGAACTAAACTTCTCATCCTGTCTCTAAGGAAGAGTCCAGCTTTCCAGTGGAGAAAACTTATTTAGACCACTTTTATCCACGATCTAGTTCTTTTGGTCACTACTCAAAGTTTGTGACCATAGGTGATGGTAGGAACATAGACAGGTAAACAAAGAGCTTCTCCTTGCAGCTCTGCTCCCTCTTCACCACAACGGACCATTACAGAGTACGCAATACTGCTGAAGCTGCACTGATAATGATCTGTCTGTCGATCTGACACTCCATTCTTCCCTCCCTCATGAACAAAACCTCGAGCTGACAGGCCAGAGTAAGAGCGAATCAGAAAAATACTATGGTGGACAGAGGATAACAAGGAGCTCAGTGTCCAACATCCAGACAAAGTTTTTGAGAGCCCCACCATTGAGCAACTGGTGACTGGACCTCTACCCAAGGAGTCAGGCTCAGTCTGAATGAGTTACATGGGTTTGCCTTCCTGAGGGCCCACCACCTGCAGTAGGGGTCATACGGGTCATGTGCCATGGATGGTAGCTGAAGGTAGGGGCCTTGGAGCTTTGACCCTGGCAAAGCTAGCTCTCCAAAAACCCTCTTAAAGTGTGATTGTATGGGGAAAATTCTCAAAGTTTGTTGCAAATATTGTTAACGTTTGAGTCGCAAAATGTATTTGCTACCAAAAGTCATGTTACGCTATTCCCGATCAAACCACGTTTAGATTTATAATTTGTATATTGTACAGAATAGTCGTGAGGGTGCTTTGGCGTTTTTGAATGAATAAACATGACAAGGTGGAAAACATCTGGAAAAATGACCCAATTGTGTGTTCCTTATCGCTTTCCCATATCTCGAGGACCACTTTGGTTTTCCAAAAAAGCTCCCAGAAAGCTCAGAAGACAATGGGATGAAGGTTCAGGAAGCTGCGCGAGGCTGAGACGCTCCGTTTTCATCGGAAACATCCTTCCTCCCTTCTATCTCAGCGAGTCGGCGGGAAACTTCTTCCATTAATAATATTTGAAGCCAGAGCGCTCTGTGGCCACAGCTGTTCTGAACCTAGAACCTCTCAATGGAAAGAAAAACACAAGACATGCTGGTGCTGAAGGGTTTAGCTGCTACAGGGTTACTGAGGCACCCTGGGCCGGGTCCATGGTCCTGGTTGAGGACGAGGTAGACTCTTGATGTCTGACTCATCGAGGCTTTTGTTTATTCATTTCTAAACACAGCAGCTAATAATAGAAAGAGGTCTAAACTGTTTGTTCAGCTCGTTGTCTCTGCTTATTGAAGCAGAAGCACTTTCCCAGTTGAGTCTTTTGGTCGTTCCTAAAGTGGTTAGAGACTGATTTTTTATTAAAACAATCCAATTTAAAAATAAAATATGAATTCACTGTGATTCCTGAAATCATTTGATGAAGTTTAATGAAAAAGCTGAAAGTGTGTTAAGCAAAAAAAAAAAAAAACTAACCAAAAAAAAAAACAATAGGCGAGCTAATGGTTAATAAAAGTAGCTAAATACTAGCTAAAAGCATAAAAAGCTTAGCTAAAAAAATTTAAAGCAGCAAGAGGCTAGCTAAAACCTAGAAGTACCAAATTGTTAGTTAAAAAATAAAATATCAAAAGTCTAAATAGAAGCATAAAAAGTCTACATAAAAACTAAAGGTAGTAACACTAGCTAAAATCAGCATATGTTAGCTAAAAGCTAAAAATAATAAAAGGCTGGCTAAAAAAATAATAATAATTAAATGCTTAAAGTTGCTACATGTTGGAAAACAGCTAAAAGTAAAAAATGCTAGCTAAAACTTAAAAGTACCAAAAGACTGGCTAAAAACTAAAAGTAGCTAAATACAAGCTAAAAGCAGCATAGTTTAACTAAAAGCTAAAGGCAATAAAAGTCTGATAAAAATAACAAGAAGCCAAGTAAAACTAAAAGTAGCTCAATGCTAGCAAACAGTCTAAATCAGCTACATGCTAAGTAAAGTAGCAAAACACTTGATAAAAGCAGCAAAAAGATGCACAAAAGTGCAAAAAATTTAAAGCAGCAGGAGGCTAACTAAAACCTAAAAGCAGGCTAAAAAGTAAGAAAAGCCTAGCTAAAAGTAACAAAATACTAGCTAGATGCTAAAAGTAGCAGAAGGGTAACAAAACACCAGCTAAATGCAGCATAGGTTAGGTAAAACTAATAAAAGGTTAGCTAACAACAAATAAGACGCCAGCTAAAAATAACAAAACATTAGCAAAAATCAAATGTGCAAAATGCTAGCAAAAGAAAAAATGCAAGCAAACTAATTACAGGTCGCAAAATGTTAGCAAATAGCTGAAAGTATCAAAAGGCTGGCTAAAAGCTAAAATAATGTTCAATTCCCAACTCCTACTACAGTTTTGAAAATAATAGCATAAAAAAACACTAAAGCATGAAGCTCCACTGGGTCTAATGGGTATACCCTTCAGCATTTACTCTGAAAGTTTCTAGTTGTGCCCCACCATGCTGGTTTTTAAATGGTATGAACATAATGCCTTGTTTACACGTGCGGCATTTCCTTGAAAACATCTGCTCCACCCTCTGAGTCAGAGGTCTAAAAAAGCTTAAAAATAAAAGCTCCTGTTTATCCGTTCTGTCAGCTGATTTAAACCTGCTGTGTGTCTGATAACAGGACGAATAACAAGATGTGTGACAGGATGAGTTTTCACTCAACTTGTGAAGGAGTATTCATTGTGTGAATCCTTATAAATCATTCCCACAATTGAGATCTGTTTTTCTTCAGTATATTTTTCGGCACGTAACTCGTTCCGCAGATTTTGTAATATTTCAACAATTAATTTATCCAATTGTTCAACTCATTCAGGACATTCCTGCTATGACCTTTGGTAATTGTGCAATTTTTATTCTTTGAAACTTTTGGCCATGTTTTTCTCATTGAAAATGAATGGAGCCCTGTTCAAATCATGTAAAACCTGCTTTTGCTTCCTACTTCAGCACTTTTATGCTAATAAGACTACTAAGAATAATTCTGCCATGTTTTTTGATGATATAGGCTACTGCTCTTCTAATGCAAATTTTGCTTTGTTAATGCTAATTCAGCCCTGGTAATGCAAATTTTTATATGGTAAAGCTAATTCTGCCCTGTTTTTTATTTATTTATTTATTTATTTTTTCTTTTTTTTTTTCTATTGTTTTAATTTTTTTAATTGTTTCCTGCCAGTGCTACATTTACCCTGTTTTGTGCTAGCAATCTTCCCTGCTAATATTAATGCTACTTAGCTTATGTTAATTCTATATAATGTTTTTTGGTAATTCTACCCTGTTCTTTACTACTTCTGCCTTGTTTTCATGCAAATCTTGCTCTGTTTTATGCTAATTCTGCCCTTCTCTTTGTTAATTCTACCCTGCTTTATGCTAATTCAACCCTGCTTTTTGCTCATTCTGCCCTGTTTTATGCTTCTTCTGCCCTGTTCTTTGCTATTTCTACCCTGCTTTATGCTAATTCTACCCTGCTTTTTGCTCATTCTGCCCTGTTTTATGCTTCTTCTGCCCTGTTCTTTGCTAATTCTGCATGGTTTTCATGCAAATCCTGCTGTTTTTTGCTAATTCTGCCCTGCTCTTTGTTAATTCTACCCTGCTTTATGCTAATTCTACCCTGCTTTATGCTAATTCTACCCTGCTTTTTGCTCATTCTTCCCTGTTTTATGCTTCTTCTGCCTTGCTATTTGCTAATCCTGCCCTGCTTTATGCTACTTCTACCCTGCTTTATGCTAATTATACCCTGCTTTATGCTAATTCTACCCTGCTTTTTGCTCATTCTTCCCTGTTTTATGCTTCTTCTGCCTTACTATTTGCTAATCCTGCCCTGCTTTATGCTACTTCTACCCTGCTTTATACTAATTCTACCCTGTTTTATGCTAATTCTTCCCTGTTTTATGCTTCTTCTGCCTCGCTATTTGCTAATCCTGCCCTGCTTTATGCTACTTCTACCCTGCTTTATACTAATTCTACCCTGCTTTATGCTAATTCTACCCTGCTTTTTGCTCATTCTTCCCTGTTTTATGCTTCTTCTGCCTTGCTATTTGCTAATCCTGCCCTGCTTTATGCTACTTCTACCCTGCTTTATGCTAATTCTACCCTGTTTTATGCTAATTCTTCCCTGTTTTATGCTTCTTCTGCCTTGCTATTTGCTAATCCTGCCCTGCTTTATGCTACTTCTACCCTGCTTTATACTAATCCTACCCTGTTTTATGTTAATTCTTCCCTGTTTTATGCTTCTTCTGCCCTGTCCTTTGCTAATCCTAACATGTTTTTTTGCTAATTCTGCCCTACTTTTTGCTAATGTGCTACGTTTAACATTTATCTAGGTTATTTTAGTGTTCTACTAGCTTTTTACTACTTTTACTTCATAGCAAGTGTTGCTCTGCTTACTAGTAATGGTTTGTTACTTCTCGCTCTTAGCTAGTATTTTCTTGCCCCTTTTTTTGGCTACGTTTCGCTACTTCGGCTTTTTCTTTTTTCAAACAAACTTTTTACTGCATCTTTTTTTGTCATTTTTCTGCTGTTTTAGTTTTTTGTTGATCTTTCAGTTTCATCTTACCAGTTTTCAGCTATTGATGTATTTCAAGTAAGCTTTAGTTTTTTTATAATAGCATTCAGCTAAATCAATCAGCAATTAGTCTACACACTGCATTTCTGAGGGAAATACAAATTTCTTTTGTTGATTTTTGTGACAGAGGTAGAGCCAGACAAAAAATTTAAACAAATATGATTAATTTTCTTTCCTGAAACTATTGTATTTATCATAATAATCAATTTAATAATCATAATTATCAATTTCAGATGTTTTGAAATCTGAGTTGGTAAATTATTTTTATCCTCATTGCTGATTCAAAATGAACATATATCCGAACAGATGAGGGCTGACCAGTCGGAGGAGTTTGAAGAAGTCCACGTTGGCGTAGAACCGGTCCTCGATGACCTGCAGCCTCTGCGGTTTCAGGACGCACATGGCGTTCCGGACAGCGTAGAGCCCTCTGTGGCTGGAGAATACCAGGAATCGCTCCAGGAGGTCGAGGCTGCAGGCGATGTCCTTCAAACGCAAGTCTGGGACACCGAAGGCGAACTGAAGACAGAGGACAAGGGTCGGCTTTAAACAGGGACATGAGTGTTCAGGTCTGGATACTTTGAGCTTGTTAATCAAAAACTGTTTAGTTGATAAAACTCAACTGGGTACAAAAAATATTTATAGGAGTTTCTCAGTCCCAGCTGATGAAAATATCCCCACCCCATGATGCTGCCGCCACCGTGCTCCAGTGGGGATGGTGTCAGCTGTTGTTTTTGATGGACAAAATGTCCAATTTTCTTCTCATTTGACCACAGTAAGAAATTCCAAATGATCAAATTTATATTTTATCACCTGCCACCAAAACATAAGGTGATCATGTTTTTACTGGTGTCTTGGCGTGTGCATCGCCCACCTTTCGTCTCTTGGCAGCAAGCACCAAAAGCATTTATTCTTGTTTGTTCCATTCTCAGGTCCCCTCGGGGCCTTCTCGGGTGTTTCTACCTGTTCAGGCCTGATCCGGGCTTTAAGGAGCTGATCCACAACAGACTCCGTCAGAGGAACGTCTCGCAGCAGGAATGACGTAAGGGTTTCGTCGTCCTTCAGGATCGTCTCCACCTCCACCCCTCCACCTGCCAAAACACACGGGGGCGGATATGTTTAACGGGAACTGTGAACGCTGCCAAGTTTCCCACTGGAACCACGAAGAGGAACAACTGGTCAAGTGGGGAGTAAACTGGATTCTTATGAACATTCAGGACAAGTCATAACAAGAGGGGTTTAGATGGAACTCACTGCAGTATCGAGAAGAGTATGGAGTGCCATTTGTAAAGTTACACAGTCAAAAATTAACTGAAATATTTTGGTTTATTTAGACTTCATAAGAATTTTTTTTTCAAAATCATATGTATTTTCACCATGTTATTCATACATTTATAAATATCATAGTTTCAAAATAAATGTTTAATTTACAAGCTAAATATTTAAATTACAAACCAAATACTTAACATGCAAGTTGAATATTTAGTTATTAAACTAAATATTTAGGCGTAAATTAAATATTTAGGTGTAAATTAAAAATTTAGGCGTAAATTAAATATTTAGGCGTAAATTAAATATTTAATTTCAAAGCTAAATATTTATTTTCAAAACTAAACAGTTAATTTCCAAACTAAATATATATTGTTCATGCTAAATATTTAGTTTCCGAACTAAACATTTAAGTTATATGCTAAACATTTAATTCCTAAACTAAATATTTAATTGGTTAACTAAATATTTAGCTCAAACCTAAATATTTATTTTCCAAGCTAAACATTTACTTTCCAAAATAAATATTTGATTTACTAACTAAATATTTAGCTAGGACATAAATATTTAACTTGCAAGCTAAATGTTTAGCTAGTAAGTTAAATATTTAGGTCAGAGCTAAATATTTAACTTGCAAGCTGAATATTTAGCTAAATTTAGCTAGCAAGTTAAATATTTGGGTCCGAGCTAAATATTAGTTAGAAATTTAAATATTTATTTTGGGAATTAAATGTTTAGTTTGGAAAATAAATATTTAGGTCCAAGCTAAATATTTAGTTAGCAAATTAAATATTTATTTTAGAAATTAAATGTTTAGCTTGGAAAATAAATATTTAGGTTTGAGAACATGTTACTAATTAGTTAATAAGGTCTTTATAACTTTGCATGGTGTACCTTTAATATATCTGGAAAACTGCCAGAATAAACTCTTCCAAATCTTTTATTACAGTTCAGGAGAACCTTTTATTTGTTTGTTTTTATTTCCAATGAGTCTCTGTAAGTTGGAACAACCGGATTTGTATGAACCTGTATTGTTGACGTGTTGTAACAAGCTGGGTTCAATGAAGGAATTTGAAAGAAGGCTACGGCTATTAAAGAAAACTTCCCCACTTGACTCAGTTTTATCCTTCCCTCTGGCCTGCCCGCGCTTGAGTCTGGTTTACTTTGCAGGACAAAGTGAACATCTGGCCTGTGTCCAGGTTCTGCACCCCGCTGATCCCGCCTGGAGCGGCCCAACAAACGAGCTGGGTTGTAAAAACTGGGAGCGAGTTGGATTTTAACGACCGGGAGATCATCGCTGAAGCTAACGGAGCTCTGCGATCCATCCTGGATCCTAAACTGATTCAGTACTCTGGACTCAGGAGGAATAGTGTTCTCTAATCTGTCTGTTAGCAAAATATCTCATTAACCACTAGTTGGATTTTAATGAAATGGTCAGAATGGAGTCACTTGATAAGCATCTACAAATAATTGATCTTATGAATCAACCTGATTAAAGATGGCTGCCATAGTTAATAATAAAAAAAATACTGTAGTTAATTTTACATCTATTTATTTAAAATTAGGTGGTAGTAGCTGAGAATCATCCCCAACACATAGTGTGAGTGCTAACATATCATGCTTGATAGCAGTACCAACAAAAATAAGCAAATGCTTTTATTTTGGCGAGCAGTTTTAGTGGAAGTTGGGTTATTTTCAAGATTTGACCAAAACTACGATCTTTTAGAGTTCTTTACAAAAGTTGTGAACAGTTAATATCTTACCTGTTGTGGATAACTACATAAATGATTTGCATTTTGTAAAGCATGTCACCTGCTACCTTCTAACTAAACTCATCATAGGTTTGGGTCAAACTTTAATAAAATAACACATACTTCCTCTATGATGGCTCACCAAAATAAAAGCATTAGCCTGTGTTTGTTGTAGCAGGATGCTAATGAAAGCCTGGAGCACTGACCTGAGACCTGTTCGGGGCGGGTGCGCAGCGTCTCCATGAAGTCGCTCATGGTGCTCAATTCCCTCCAGAGGCGGCCGACCTGCAGGAACTCCGGGTCACTGAGAAGAAGCTCCTGAGCATCCGAGTAGAACCGAGCCAAGCTGAGGGCAAAGGTCAGGAAAAGGTCACACCAGACACCTGTGGCTCTTTGATTCTCTAATCTACCTTTAAATGTTTAATGATAATTTACGACCTCGGGTCTAAAGTTCTGAGGCTTACATGGAGTTGTTGTAGTTGGACACCAGGCCAGGAGACTCTCCTCGGGTCTGGAACTGGAAGCAGGGGTTGTTGGCGTTACAGAAGATCCCCTGGATCCACGGCAGGACTCCAGCTGACGGCATGGCCTTGTTCGGGAAGTGACCTGAGAGAGCAGATGCTGTCAAAGGGATAGTTCAGATCTTTTAATGTGAGGTGGTTGTAGGCAGCTCTTTGATGAACCTCATATTGGAGGAACAGAGTTCAACGATGAGTCAGCAAGAATCACACTTTTATTTTCCTGAACCTTTTCCTACTTTTCAAAGTATTTATTTACAAATATTTTAGCGTTTAGCTAGCCTTTTTCTACTTTGACTTTTAGCTACTGTTCTGAGACTTTTAGCTGGGCTTTTGCTTATTTTAGGATTTCAGCTAACCTTTGTAAATTTTAGCTTTGAGCTATCCTTTACTACTTTTAGCTTTTTGTTAGCCTTTTGCTTTTTTAGTTTCTGGTCAACATTTAGCAGGTTTTAGTTTTTAACTAGCCTTTTGTTACTAGCTTTTAGGTAGGCTTTTGTCATTTTTAGCTTTTAGTGAGGCTTCTTGTAATTTTAGCTAGTGATGCACCACTTTTAACTTTAGCTGCACTTTATCTACTTGAGCTTAGAGTTAACCTTTTGGTGCATTTAGCTAGACTTGCCGTTTTCAGCTAGTATTTACTTCTTTGAGTTTTTTTTAACCCTTTTGCTACTTTTAGCTTCTAGGTAGCTTCTGATACTTTCAGCTAACCTTTTGTTGCGTCTAGCCATAGTTTGCTACTTTAGGCTTTGAGCTTGCCTTCTGTATCTTTTAGCTTTTAGTTAGGCTTCTTTTAATTTTAGCTTCTAGCTAGCATTATGCTACTTTTCTCTTTTACCTACATTTTACTCCTTTACTTCAGAGCTAACCTTTTGTTGCCTTTAGCTAATTTTTTCCGATTTTAGCGTTTGCTTATTTGAGCTTTTCACGACCCTTTGCTACTTTTATCTTTTAGGTATTTTCTGATACTTTTAGCTAACCGGTTGAGGCAATTATGTAGCTCAATGCTACTTTCAGGATATAGCTAGTTTTTATTTTTTAGCTTTAAAGAAATCTGTTTCTTCAGCATATTTCTGCAGCAATCATTCAGCCCGAGCTACAGCTACAGCTAGCTGTGTTAGCTCGTTAATCTGGTCAGAAATAAACTCTTTCTCCAAACTGAGTTTTTTTCAAAGAGCCATCTACAACAGGTAAGATGTTAACGGCTCACATTCGTGTTGACGGTAGAGCGGGTTGACTCTCCTCAGCCACACCAGACCCATGAACAGAACCACGGGCCACATGATCTCCACGAGGAAGCGGATCTGGTAGAACAACAAGCAGGGGGGGCATCTGATGATGACTATTTTCACTAAAATCTTTCTATTAGTTCATGAGATATTTTGCTAACAGACACAAACATGATGGCCCGCCTTACAGCGGCGATGATGATTTTACCCTTTGTCTCCTGCGGATGGTCCAGTTCTTCCACAGCAGGAGTCTCACCTGTCTTCCTGACCCCATGACACCTCCCTTTCCACCCCCTCAGGGGGCCCGGCTCCGGCCCGCAAACCTGCGTTCAACCAGTCACAGACCCGGGGGCCCGTCACGGATCCGTCTTACCTTCTGTTACACAAACTTCTATTTCATTAATAAGCTGCTGTAACAATTAGCCATGGATACCTTCACGCACAATGTCGGTATCCATGGCAACTGCCTCACTAGATCTACATCAGTTTGGATCACTCACCTCAGACGGACGTGGATAAACTCTGGGTGAATAAAACCATCGTAACAGCAGGATTTCTCCGGAGCGTGGCTGCTAACGCAGCTTGTTCTCAGACCTCGTGAATGGATAATCCGATTGATTTAATCCATTTTCTCAGGGCTGGGAGGAGGCTCGCAGACCTCCTCCGTTTCTCCTGAACCCAACAGGATGCTGTAATCCAGCCTCATTCATGAACATTAAATTAAAACTTTTATTGTCGCCAACACTTTTTCCTGTGTCTGTTGGCATAATATCTCACAAACCACTAGACAAATTTCAATCAACTTTTCAGGAAATAATCATTGGATGAACATGTACAAATAATTAACATTTTGAGTCATTCTGAGTCAAGATGGCCACCACAGCCAAGTGATGCTAAAAAAAATGGCTAGAACAGCCAAATTTTAGATATTGAGCTAAAAATACTTGTGGTAGTAGCCGAGAGTCATTCACAAAACATACTCTAAGGGTGACAACTTGCTATTTGATTTAATTTTTATGACATTGTCAGTTTTCTTTGTAAGATAGTCTGAGTAGTTAGGCTTGATTAGGCTGTACATAGAACTGATCCTGGGTTTGTTCGAAAGAGTTTGGACTTGTGTTTTCGTTGTATCGTGTCCTCAGACAACGTTTATTGTGAATCGGTGCTTGATGAAACAACAGAACTGAAAATGTTATTTAAATAGTTCTACTCACAGGTCCCTGTTGCATAACTGAGAATAAATGGCACTTCGTTCATTTTCTTTGATATTTCATCAAGTTTTCCTTTTTTTAAAAAGGTTACACACAACTGGCTGATTGATGGATGAGCTGCACCATCGGCATGGAATTTTTATTTTAAATGAACTATTTACAATTATTTAGCACCTCCTGCACCTTTGTACAGCTCACACTGCTGGATAAGCTTCATTCTGCAGCTGATCAGCTGTTCTCCATGCAGAGCTGAGAAGTGGGCGTGGCCAAGAGTGCTTGCAGTGCCAGGTGGCAAAGAGCAGACGAGGACGGGAGCTAAAATCATGACATTCTGTGCTCTTTTAGCGCGTTTAGTTTAGAAACATTGTTTAGAAACGTTGTTTAGAATATTGCAAAAGTGTGGGAAGGGTTTGAAATGCCTTTATATATATATATATATATATATATATATATATATATATATATATATATATATATATAAATAAACTACTACTTACTACTTGTGCTACTATTCCCACCTAGTGTTTTTTTTATTCCTACTTGGCATTCTTTTCACTTATAGCGGGGCTTCAGGGTACGGATCCCCCACGATAAATGAGGGACTACTGTATTCTCACTCACGTTTTAAACAGAAACATCTTATTTATAAAGAAATGATCCGACCAATCAGAGCACAGCGTACTGTAAGTAGGTGGATCTTAAAGACCTTGTAAACCTGTTCTGGCAGACCTGCGGTCCCTCAGTTTGTTTGGTTCTGCTAATCTGAGGGCGAGTCCAGGAGGGAAACCCAGACTGTCTTCTTGCTAACAGAAATGAATCATCTGCATACAGCAGAAAACAGTGGTTTTCAAATCAGACCCTGAGGTTACCAGACTATCCAGACTAGACTCTGAGGTTCCCAAACCAGACCCCAAGGCTCCCAAATAAGACTTTGAGGTTTCCAGACTAGACCTTGAGGTTCTTAATTCAGACTCTGAGTTTCCCAAACCAGTCTCTGCGGTTTCCAGACCAGATCCTGAGCTTTCCAACCAGACCCAGAGGTTTCCAGACTAGACCTGGATCAGTCCAGGAGTCCAACCTTGGAATCTGAACTTCTCTTGTTTAAATTAATCTTTTTTTTTTAATCAGACAACTAGTATAAAACAAATAATTGTTGTCATCCATCCATCATTACCCACTTTACTTTTCGGGTTGTGGGGGTCACTGGTGTCCATGTCCAGCCATCACTGTGTGAGAGGTGGGAGACACCCTGGACACAGAGACAAACAACCATTCACTCTCTCACTCACACCTAGGGACAATAATTTAGAGTCACCAATCAGCCTAACATGCATGATTTTGGTATGTGGGAGGAAACCGGAGAAAACCCACACATGCACGGAGAGAACATGCAAACTCCACCCAGAAAGACCCCAGGCCGGGATTTGAACCGGCGACCTTCTCACTGAGAGGCAGCAGCTCTACCAACTGCGCCACCGTAAACCAAACAAAAACAAATAAATAATCCGAACATCTAATTTGGAAGTTACCAAATACATTTTAATAAGTTACAAAAGTGGTGTTTGTTTACCGTGTACCTATTATTTTTTTTACACTGAGCACAACTTTCTGTCAACTTTGTACAAAAACATTTATACAATAAGCCTGTAAGATTAACGATAAAACCAGTTAGGGCGTAAAAAAAAGAAATAGCTTTGGTTATCAAGACAAATTTAAATGTTATATTAAAAAATATATATATATACAGTATATATATTTATATAAAATGGGGGAAAATAAAAACCTGTGAGATGTGGAGAGACTTGTTTAAATGATAAAAACAGGTAGATGATTAAACGTCAGTACAGATGTACGGCACAGGCTGAGCCGAAGGTCGTTATGTTTTATATTCAAGCTATTATCGGAACAATTAGTCCTAACGTGGTTGTAACAGTTTGAAACAGAGTCGGAACCAGGGTTGGGGGATTGGACGACGATATCGACCGCTGGACTCTACTGACGGAACTTTTTATTTTTTATTTTAACGCAACTAATTTTCTCTAAAGTGAGTTCAAACCAATAAATAAACGTAAGACTCGAACCCTGACCTCAACGTGGAGTGATACACCCCAATCGTGTGCAACGCAGCTCAATCCTTTCCCAAAGTGTCAAACTTTCCACGAGGCGTTGTAGTCAGCTGTCGGACAGCACCGTTGAGTTATGAGTCAGCAAAGATCTGCTCAGTTTTGGCTAGTTTTTAAAAAATTTGCAATAATTTTGGTAGAAGCAGCAGCTGTGTGGAGGGATTTCAAAGCGGACAGTGGCGACAAAAGGAAAGCGGGCGAACTCTTTCAACACAAACATTAGTGGGTTTGGAAAAGAATGCTGTACAAGTTCTTGATTTGGGACAAATCGTCAACTTCCGCAGTTGTAAGGAGAAAGAAATTAAACGCAACAACACAGCTGTGCTGAATATCGTCACTCATCGGTGATGGATGGAGAGTTCGGCCAATCGTCCAACCCTTGCAGGAACGACACGACCGGATCTGTGGGGAGTATTCATGTCAGGGTGGCTGCTCTAGAAACACCAACACAAAGACGTACAGCATTTTTTTGGTATAAACACAGCGAGTCTGTACAACACATGGAAAACAAACAAAAAAATTGCACAGTTTTAAAGACATATTCCAACGAGGTGCAGAGTTTTAGAAGTGAATTAAAGTCTGCGGTATTTAAGTGCATCGTGTTTGTCTTTCGACGACCAAAGAACACGTCCGGTAAACCTCCAATAGGACATCGCCCGAAGATGCTTCTGCTCTAGAGTTCGGCTCAGATCAAACGAAATGAGCTTCTCTGCGTTCCACCTCCTGAAGGCGCCGGGCCCGTAGTCTCTGGTACACTGGTTTGGCCTGGTTTTGACCCAGTTCCTCAGGGCTAGAGCTTGAAGACATGTCTACCTGCTCAACAGTACTGTCCTCCTCAAGGGGTTCGTCCACTGACACCTCTATCTCAATCCCCAGCTCGTCTTCGTCCTCCTCCTCATCCTCCTCGGCGCTGTTAGCGAACGAGCAGTCCTGTAGCGGTTTAGCTTTGCTCCCCGTCGGGGGCTTGTAGAAAGTTCCTGGAGGAGGCAGAAGAGTCCTCGGAGCTCTGAAAACTGTTGCCACCGTGTTGTTCTTGGACGCCCCGTCGTCCCTTTTTAAAGTTCTGCTGGGCCGCACCGCAACCGTGTACGGTCTGTTGGGGTAGATGGTGCTGATCGCGCTGCCCGTTGTTCCGAGGGACAAAACAGACGGCATCGAAGCCGATAAGCTGCCGGAGTCCATCGCTGAGCCCTCTGAGGGAGAACTAGACCCCAGTCTGGGAGCTTTGGCATCAAACTTGTACTGCTTGTCCCACGTTCTTCGTAGCGTCTGCGTGTCGATAAACGTACTGCGGTAATTTGTACCGACGCACGCGGTCTCCGCCTCGTCCACTTCGTCGATGGACTGGTCACAGCCGCCGTCGTTGCCCTCATCCTGGCCGGAGCTGTTGTTCTCGTCTGCTTGTCTCCGTTTGAAGACCCGCTCGGCCGGCATGCTCATGGGCCGGGAGTAGAATCTGCTGCGTGGGTGTCGAAGCTGGACCCTGGTAACCGTGACGTGCTGGGAGTGGCACGAGCCTTTCTCGCCGGGCTTTGGGACCTCAGCGCCACTTGACGCGTTGACCCCATTTAACGTCTCAGAGTCCATTTCTTCAGCTGAAAAGAAACAGATGAAGACGTTACACGAAATGCAGTAAGCAGGTAAAAGCAAGACTTTCTGTAAATAAAACACTGACCTGGTTCAAAGTCATCGACGCTCGGCAGGGTCTCCTGAACCTCATCCAGCAGGTGTGAAGAAGGAATTATGGAGGAATGTCTCTTAAACACCTTAGAGCTCTGCTTTTAAGGTAAAATGGAGAATAAAGTCAGAAAAATGTTTTATTTTGTACCGAAGCTAACAACTAGTTACCTCCTTGATGTCCCCCAGAGACTTGGAGTGCCTGCTCAGCTGCTGCTCCTTCTCCTGCCGGGTGAGGCGGGGATGGGTGTCCACGTCTGAAGGCGAGGTCCCGCTCAGAGGACCGAGGGGGGTGTCAAAGAGCATTTGGTAGTGTCGGATCAGAAGCTCCACAGTGAGCGCCTGGTAGGGGTAATCCACCAGGGAGGAAAGGGAAACGTCGGCGTCCGCCTGCCTCGGTTTGATCAGAGTTGGACCGAAGATGATGCCCAGGTTGCTGGCTGTCATCTTGTTTTCCTCAGAACGCTCCGTCACCCTGAAGAGAGAAGGAAAACCCAGTATTTTCTCCGTTTACAAAGATCAAGTCTAAAATGTTTAATATTAACAGATGGATGGTGTTTATACCTGCGCAGATGCTCTATGAGGAACTGCAGCGTTTTATAATTGGCCGGAGGCAGCTGCCGCAGCAGATCTTTGATTTTGAAGAGGACCCGGTTGAGCTCCACGCTGACCTGGTCCGTTTTCACGGCGCTGGGACTGAGGCGCAGCGCCTCTAGTTCCTCCACGATGATGCTCTGACTTTCCTTTGCCAAACCGATGACGTCGTTGTAGTGACGGAAGAGGATGAGAGGCTCTGGAAGCTGGAGGTAAACAACAACAAAATAAAGAACAATTAGACGGAAAACAGAAAAAACCAAACAACATAAAAATTACACACATAGTTGTTGCAAAAATGAAAGTTAACGCTGTTTTTGTCGTAACGGGACAATAAAAACGTTTTTTTAAATCTAATCGATCACAACAGAAACTAAAGTTAGCGTTTGCTAAAAAAATAACATTTCCTAAACAAAAGCTAAAATTAAAACCAACTGTAGAAGTTAAGGGTGGCACGGTGGATCAGTTGGTAGAGCTGTTGCCTCTCCGCGAGAAGGTCACCGGTTCAAATCCCGGCCCGGGACCTTTCTGGTGGAGTTTGCATGTTCTCTCCGTGCAAGCATGGATTTTCTCCCACAGACCAAAAACATTCATGTTAGGCTGATTGGTAACTTTAAATTGTCCCTAGGTGAATGGTTGTTTGTCTCGTTTGTCTCTTAGTGTTCCTGTGATGGACTGGAGACCTGTCCAGGGTGTCCCCCGCCTCTCACAGTGACTGCTGGACATGGGCACCACTGACCCTCGTGACCCAAAAAAGAAGAAGCCGGTAAAGATTACAGATGGATGTAGAAGTTAAAACCAGCAAAATAGTAACTAAAAGCTATAAAACTAGCCAAACATTAGCTAAAAGATGAAAATATAGCATCAGTAGTCAAAACTAGCAAAACGTTCTGATAAAAACTTCAGTCTAAAAGTTTTAATAAAGATATGTCTGTGTGTATGATTTTATTTTGAATCAACTGTAATAGTTCAAAAAGTATAAAAGTTATAAAAAAAAAAAAAAAAGAGTCATGGCTGTAATATCCAGAATGAGCTGGATGTTTTGATACCAGAAGTTAAAAAAGCTGCAAGTACAGTCCTCTGGACGGATTCTTCTCATTGAAAAGTTTCAGTCTGAGGTTTAAAGACTTTTGGATAAAAGACGAAACCGTTCAACACGAAGAATCCATCCAGGGGACCTGACTTAACGTAGTTAGATTCATCTGCCTGGATTATTGAGCAGCATCAGGATAGCTGCAAGTGCGTTGAATTAATTAAGAGTTTAAAACAGGAAACCCATAGTGTGAATGCTGACTCAGCGTTCACTGGGATCTGGAAACATTTAAATCCAACCTAAAATGGCTCCCGTGCTGCAAAACACGCCCAAATAACCAGCCTTCAACCTCCATGATTGACAGTTGCTTGTGCTGATATTTGCTGCAGTGCATTGTGGGTAAAAAGCTCTACTTTGGTCTGGTTTTGTCTCAGAAGTCTTGTGGTTCCTTCAGATTACACTTTTCAAGCCTAAACCCTTCTGCCATATTGTTTTCAAAGAGGCCATGACCTTTGACCTGCTCACTGAGGCCTGCAGACAAAGCTGATTTCTCCAGCCACTGCAAAGTCTGACCTTCAGGGTGAATCTACACATTTTCCATTTGTGCGTAACCGTTTTCTGCGTAGAACGATGGGACCGATTACTTGAAAAGAAGGCTCACCTGTCTCAGGTAGAGCTTCAGGACGTTGCTGATGTCGTGAGGGTAAAGGTCAGAGAGCTCCACCAGGTGCTTGCCGTTCTCAAACGCCTGGCACAACTTCTCCACCCGAGACTTGGCCCCGTTCACCCGGTAGATGCCCTTCAAAGCGCAGAAACAGAACACGGTCAACATCCGACTCGCTGCAGAAAGAAACTGGGCGAACGTGCAGAATATTCACAAGTAATCTCTTAAACTGGCTGAAAAACATCTAGTTTACAGCAAACAACATCAGCTGGTGTCAAATATAGAAAAAAAGATAAATCAATCAGCGTTTCTCTCACTGCTGATTTATTAAATCGATGTAACCCGCATAAAAGAGAACAAAATACCTTCATGCCCAGCGCTCGGTTCTCGATTTCAGATGTGCATTTGCGTACGATGAAGGGGACGCTGTCGGGGCTGTTTTTAGCCGCCTGCGTGAAGTCGATGCCGAACAGGTGGAGCTTCCCCTGGAGCTTCTTGTGGCCGCACTGGATGGCGAGGGTTTCCAGACACTTCTTATGGCAGGCCAGCGAACACTGAGAACACACGTCAGGGTCTAAATACAACATTCATCAGGCAGACAGGCGGCAAAACTGATAAGAGCTGTGTGAGAACAGCTGCTTGATCAGAGAGATTTAGGCATTTTTAATAAAAACGTCACACTTTTCCAGATTTTTAACTTCTACACATTTTTATTCTTATCTTCTAAACACGAAAAAAATCTTACATTCATGACAAATAGTTCAATATGTGAATGTGTGTAAATTGAAAACACCATAAAAAGACACAAGAAACAAACAGGAAATAAACAGCAGGGGAGAAATGACCAGTGACGGCACTAGGTGTGATTCATGGCAGCCATCTTGATAGGTGCTACGTGCATCTTTCTGTATCGTTTATGTAAAATAAACACATTATTAATTCTGTATGTGCGCTATACGCTGTCATGGGTCTAAAAATACACAGAGATATCTTTATTCCACTTAAATAAACACGAGGCATTATATGACTCTACTCTTTGGCCTTCAACCCGACTGAGACTTGATTTTCCTTAATTTTTATTGGTATTGATTTTATCTTTTAGCTCGTCGTTTTATTGCGTTTTAAATTGAGTTTTTAATTAACTATTGTGTGCTTAGTTTTGTAACTTTATTTTTATGCTTTCTTTTATCTTATTTATTACTGATGTTCAGCACTTTGTTTCAGCTTTGGCTGGTGTTAAAGTGCTTTATAAATAAAGTTGATGATGATGAAAACAAAAAACAGCAGTATTCTGTGATGAGCCTCCTAACGAGCTCACAATAAAGTATTTTTTCACATATTTCTGGGAACATTTATTCCATATATACTGTAACATGTTCTTAAGTGTTTGGACAAGGATAACCGAGAGTCAAGTTTACACACTCTTTCACGGTTTTCAGCTCATATTTTACCCATACAGTAGGTAAAACAGAGGTTTTATTTAATACAATATGTCATGAATATTGTTGGCTCAGAACCCTGAATGTTCCACGGAGCTCCATTAAATCCATCACTAGAAAATGGAAAGATGAAACCTTCACACGTGTCAGCTTCCTGTCGACCAGTTAAATGTAATATGTCCAGTAACCACGTTGTTACGGTCATGTTCGGTGAATCTAATAAAAACAGACAGGAACTTGATCTAAAGTCAACAGAGCAGAGAAGGATGATGGGAAGGACAAGGACTCTTCAGTTTCCTTTTTGTGACTCGGAGCAGTTTGACGTGGAGGCTGAGGTTCAACGTTTCCCCTCACTTAAACGCTTTGATGAGTTTTGTTGTTTTGTTTACACGAGCGATGACGCTGGAGGTCGAAAGACGCCGTTTTGGCTCGTTCTCTATTAAAAAAAAAGGAAGTAAGTTGTGGGGAGACTCTGCGTTTACCTCCTCGCACTCTGCTCCGTGAAACACCACCAGGCTGTCGCACTCTCTGCACTTGGACGGAGCTCGGAGCTTCCTCAGCTTGTGGGTTTGCGCCGCCTTGGACATCTGGGCGTTCCTGAAAGGTCCCGGGGAGCTGGCGGGTTCCATTACAAGATCGCTCAAACCTGCAGGGGAAAGGGAAAGCTCCTTTAGCCCTGGAAGATTGAAAAAAACATATAGTCAATAAAAAATGTCTGCTGGGTTCACCGTTATCCAAGGGAGAGAGGGGCTCTCTGTCATCCAGGTCATCAGCAGACGACATGGTGCCCGTGGAGGGGGTTCTGGGTAATCTCCTCTTGAAGTCACCTGGACAGTAAGGCAGGACACACATGAAGGACCGCACCTTCAGAGTCAATCTCAAGGCAGAGTTGCTGAAATTAGCCGATTTTCTTACAGTTTTAAGAGTTGAGAAAACCAAACAAACTAGAGAAATTACATTTCTTGTGAAAATGAAGTGTGAATGAAGAAATTGATGAAAAACAGCTGAAGTTGGCTAAAAACATGCTGAAATGTAGCTGAACTGAAAGATCAAGATAGCAGAAGAAAGCAGAAAGAATGCAATGAATTGGGGTTAAATAAGCAGAAATTAGCAATAAAACAGTTGAAAAGTGGCTAAAAAAGAAGAAAGAATATTAAATTACCAGAAGGAAGTGGAGAGAGCCCAATTGTGCCCAATTAGGCGTAAATAAGCAGAAATGAGCATCAAAAAGCCTAAATTATCAGGGGGGAAAAAAATGGAGAAATTTGCAAAAGAAAGCTGAATATTAACTTAAAAAAGCCAAAATAAGCTTAAACTACCAGAAGGACATTTAGGGAGCACAACTGTGCCCAATTAGGCTTAAATAAGCAGAAATGAGCAGAAAAAAATGGACATTATAAGAAAAAAAGTAAAAATTTGCTAAATAAATAAATCAGCTGAACAGTAGCTAAAGAAGTAGAAAGAAGCTTACATTACCAGAATGAAGTGGAGAGACCACATTTTTGCTGAATTAGGCTGAAAACGTTGAAATGAGTGCAAAAAATGTGGAATTAGCTAAAAAAGCTCCAATTAGTACAAAAACAGCTAAATAGTAGCTGAAATAGCAGAAAAAGTGGAAACTTGCAGAAATAAGCTGAAAGGAGCATAACAAGCTGAAATTAGCAGAAAGAAATTAGAAGAAGCACAAACATTTTGTGATTAGCAGAAAAAAATCTGAAAAACCCAGCTGAAAGTAGCTAAAAAAGTTTACTTTTGCACAAGGAAGCTGAAAGAAGCTGAAGTAGAACAAAATGTGAAAGGAGCAGTAAAAGGTTGTAAACCGATCTAAAGATCTGAAGGAGGTAAAATGAGCTCATTATCTATGAGAAAAAAAGTGGCAGAAAAGGCTAAATATTTCAAAAAGCTAAAATTGCACCAAAACACAGCAGGATTGCTCTGAAGGAGCTGAATGTTTTGATTTATGACTTGTTGAAATAAAACAAAAACTGTGGAATGAGAGAAAAACATTTGGAAGAATTTAGAAGTGGAAATAAGATCACAGTAGTGTGAATGCTTCATAAAAATTCACACAATAAAAACAACAACAAAAACAGATACCAAACAGACATCTGCAGCAGAGCTCGAGTTCTGTTGCATAGCAACAAAACACAAACCTCAATCAGTGCAACTGTTTGTTTTTGTTTGTAGCGTTTAAGAGTAACACGGTTGTGCAACGATCAACTAAAATGCAGCTGTTAATCCTTTTGATTGTGAAATAACAGCACAAGAGGACATCAGGTTCACTGGAAAGGAAAGCGTGTGCTGCCCGAGGGCACTAAAGAAGCTCAGCGATGAAACTGATCTGTATTAGTTTTATTCAGCTGTTGTGGGTTGACGGGTTAAACAGAAGCTCGGTGCCGAGCAGGAAGCTGAGAAGCTCAAAAAATAAAGATTGTTTAAAAAAAAAGAAGAGTCAAGTGATTTATTGCTTCAATCAACTCATTATGGAGTGGAGGAGTAAATGAGTGGAAACTAGAAGGGGGAGGGGCTCTTGTGGTGTTACCTGGACTTGCAGTAGGTGAGTCCATAGAGCGCGACTCGCTGCTCCCTCCGGCACTTTCCGAGTCGCTGCACATCCCTCCGCTCTGATTGGCCGAGGCCCAGGAGCGGAACGGGACCTGAATCCGAAGTGCTGCATCAAAAGAAGCCGGATTAAAGAAGAAAAAAATGGGATTTCTGTCAATATAAAGCCTGAATGTTGAGAACTGAAGACACTGAAACAGTGTTGTTGAAGCTAAAGAAAACAAAACAGCTTAAAAAACGACGGTGCTAAAAAGAGCAAACAACATATACAAATATAGCTAAAATCTAAAAGTAAAAAATGATAACTAAAATGTGCAAAAAGTAGTTAAATGCTAATAGTTGCAAAACACCAGCTTGAAGCTAAAAGTAAGAATTTGCTAGATTAGTTAACAGTAGCTAAAAGCAACACAATACTAGTTAATAGTAGCAAAATGCTAACAGAAAGCAAAGTTTTAAAATCCTAGCTACAAACTTAAAGAATCAAAACAGTAGTTAAATGGTAATAATAGCAAAACTTAAACTAAAAAGCTAAAAAGAGAAACACCATTTATAAACTAAAAGTAGCAAAATCCTAGCTGAAAGCTAAGTGACAAAACACTAATTTAACTGAAACAAACCCTAGCTAATATTGGCAAAACATTAGTTAAATGCTAAAAATAATAAAACGCCACTTATAACAAAGCACTGACTAAAAGTAGCAAAACACCATTTAGTAATAAAACTCTTACTAAGGGCTAAAAGTAACAAAATGCTGAAAGCATAACACAACAACAACCTAGCTAAAATTAACACATTAACTAAAAATTCTAATAGCAAAATGCTATCTGAAAGCTAAGTTTTAAGATACTAGCTACAAACTAAAAGTATCAAAACAATAGTTAAATGGTAATACTAGCAAAACTTCAATTAAAAGCTAAAGAGAGAAACACTAACTATAAACTAAAAGTAGCAAAACACTAGCCGAAAGCTAAAAGTTGCAAAACACTATAAGCTAACTAAAACAAACCCTTGATAAAATTCGCAAAACATTAGTTAAATGCTAATAGTACAAAAAGCTAGCTAAAAGCTAAACAAAACAAAACTTAGTTATATACTAATGGTAGCAAAACATTAGCTAAAAGCTAAAAATAAAACAAAACTAAACACTAAGTAAAAGTAGCAAAACACTGTTTAGAAGTTTATAATAAAACTTAGTAAGGGCTAAAAGTAACAAAACACTAGAAGCATAACGCAACAAAAACCTAGCTAAAATTAATACATTAGCTAAAATTTTTTATAGCAAAATGAGCAAAATGCTATCTGAAAGCTAAGTTTTAAAATACTAGCTACAAACTAAAAGTATCAAAACAGTAGTTAAACGGTACTAGCAAGACTTCAACTAAAAGCTAAAGCGAGAAACACAAACTATAAACAAAAAGTAGCAAAACACTAGCTGAAAGCTAAAAGTTGCAAAACACTATAAGCTAACTGAAACAAACTCTTGCAAAAATTGGCAAAACAGTTAAATGCTAATAGTACCAAAAAGCTAGCTAAAAGCTCAAATTAGCACGACGTTAGCTAAAAATGCTAATAGTAGCAAAATGCTAACTGAAAGCTAAAAGTAGAATAGGAGGACAAAAATAAAGTTCTTTGAAGCAGATTTTTAAGTTTTTTTGAAGGAATTGGAAAATTTTGTTTTTTGGGGGAAATATTTTGTAAACGAAGTTACATATTTTGAAAAGTAGAAAAGTGACAAAAACTAAAAGAAGTCAAAGCACCGATCTCCTGTATAAGCCGAACGTTTTGACATTTTAAGGGTTGAAATAGCTCAAAGTCTGCAGTCGTAGTTTCACGTATAAAAACGGATGGAAGGAGCGCCACAGAATAAAAAGAAACAGGATCGATAAAGTGTGAACGATGACTCGGTGTTCTCTCAAAGCATATTCACGACGTGTTCGGAGTAAACCTATTAAATCGTCACAGAAGCTCGGGCGTACCTTGGACGTCGGAGCTGCCGTTGGAGCGCCGCTCTGCGATCTTGGCGTGCTGCCCGTTGCTCTGACCGTCCACGTCCTCTCCACCCAGGAGGTCAGAGGTCACGGACGCCTGTGACAGGTTGCTGTGGGACGAGTGGCTGCCACTCAGGGAGCGCTTGGTTAAAGGTCGCCTGGAGCAGAAAAAACAAAAAGTAACGTTCGGACTGAACTCACAGAGAAGCTTCTGAACAGACAAATATCAAATGAATGCAAAAACTTCTGACTTTAAGATGGAACTAAATATTTTAAAGAGCTAAACTAGAATATTTAGGGCCTAAATTAGAGATTAATACAGTTAAGACCCAAAAGAAACCCTGATTAAATTAAACAGTTATGGTTATAAATTGGTAAATAAACAATACATACCAAAATGTTTTTTATAAAAAGGTTTCAGCCACCTTGAGTCCTAAAGATTAGATTAGTCAACTTTCAATGGATTAATAGGATTAATGAAATTTATGCTCCTTAAAAAATTAATTTTGCTCACCAGTTGAAAGTTTTAATCTGAGATCTGGTGCCATCTGATATCACCCAGTGTGCTTCAGATGACTCTCAGCTACTACCACAACAAATCATAGCTCAATAAGTGCAAAACTGACTGAACTAAAGCCATTTTTTTATGTTTGCCATTGCGGCCATCTTGAATCATGTTGACTCCAAAACTTAATCTGCTGTAGTTGTACGTCCAGCGAGTTTCATTAAAATCCAGCCAGTGGATCATGAGATATTTTGCTAACAGACAGAAAAGTAAACACGCAGGCTTGTCCACAGAACTCCACTTCAAAAGAGCTGAACTATCACTTTAATTAGATGCTGTGAATCAAGCATAAAGGAGCAACAAATTTAAAAAGTAGTGAAATAATCGTTTAGCTTAAATTAATTCTCATAATTTAAGTCAAATAAAGTCTTTTATTTCAGCAATAAGAGATTAATTTTTGTCCCTTAAATTGTAATTAAATTTAAATTACATCATCAAGTCAAACGGTTTATTATTTTTGCACATTCTTTCAGGAAACGAGAATAATCGTGACGTCAGGGGACCGGGGCGGTTAATGGCAGGATAATGACGACTAACTGGAGCCCGGCTCCAAACACTGTTTTCCTTTGTTAAGGTCAATTATGCTGCGTTTACGGAGGTCGGTGGTCTATATTTAAGCTCGGGGGGGGGGGGGTCGGGGCTGTGGGTGCGTGTGAACGTGGGTGTGTCCACACGCCCGATTTCCTCTGTCCCGAGCTTTGATCAGAGGGATCAGAGTCGGGGGTGGTGGGAGCGAGAACAAAACCCGCTCTGATTCTGAACTGTCTGGTGTGTGTGTGTGCGTGCGTGTGTGTGACCACAAACAAACAACAAAACACACACTCTGTGTAATTTGTCTAAATCTGATTTGTTCCTGTTGGAAAACGAGAGAAGTTCGGTAAACTGATTCCCGAGCCGCTCTATCAGCTGACCGCAGTCACTTCCGCAGGAAGCACCGGCCGACACGATTGTTTGACCCTTTCCAAAACAACCGACCTCCCCCCTCCCAGAGAGAGCGCTCCACTCGTTTATATTGGAGTTGGACAGAGTCAAACAGTAGCGCGGCATTCTGAAACGTGGGTCTGCAGTCAATGTAAACAAAGCTCAGCCCGCTGAAACACAAGTGGAAGCTTCACGTCTGTCTGTAAACACATATGCTCGTAAGTTTGACCCATTTTCAGCCACTTCAGCTGTTGGTAAACAAACAAACAAACAAACAAACAAACAAACAAACAAACGTGCTCACAAGCTTTGCGTTTGCCTTTAAAGTCACTGGGCAGCGACTGAATTTACAAATGTTCACAAAGAAGCATTCAAAAGAGATTTAAAAAAGTTAATAAAAGGACTCTCCATTCAAAGAGACGTGATGGAGGAGATAGTTTTAAATTTCCACCAAACTTTTGGTGAATTTCCCCTGAAGGAGGTTTTAAACTTCTGTTTGTAAGCGGCTGATGTTCCTGTAGGAGTTTTCGTGGGTTGTTTTGAGTCTCACCATGAGTTCTGCGTCGCGGGCGAATCGGAGTGAAGCTCCAGGCGAGGGCCGTCTGTCGGGAGACTCCTGACGAACTCGATGTACCTCTGGCCCGGCTCGTACAGCTTGGCGCTCTCACACAGGCTCTGGTGGTTGACGGGTAGAGATACGACCTGGGCCTGCTGGAGCTGGAACCAGTTGACGGTCACCTGCAGCGAGGGCCGATCGGTTGTCAGTCAACGTGCAGTTTAATCCACAAGAAATGAATCGGAGGGCTTTAAAGCTGACGTTAAAATAAATAAGTAAATATTGCCGCTGCACATGAAGTACAACAAAGTAAATACAGAAAAAGCACAAAAGAAATGTTAGGTAGCTAAAATAAACTGCGTTTCAGTTACAGTAGGCCCTCGCAAATTTGCAGTTCGACTTTTACGGACTCGTTATTTTGCGGTTTTTCAAAGTAAAATTGTACACGAAGAAAAAATACAAATAAATAATTAATTGTACACGACACCATTGTCAACTTTAATATTACTCACGTGATGGGGACAGTACAGGATACTGTACAGTAAAAAGTTAACGAAAAGATAAAATACTTCGGACAGGCACCGCCATTTTGTAGTTTTCTCTCAATAAGCCTACACTGTATCGCCACTCATAACAACTACATTTCCCAGAAGCCCTGTTACCTTCTGCTGAAATGTGTAGAGGGAAAGTTTTGATCAGTTTTGGTACAGTGACTTCGGCGCCCAGCACATGCAGAGAGCTGCACCGAAACCACCAGGAACTGGACCCCCAGACCCATCGGTGAACCCGAGAGCTGGAAGCCGGCCCACGAGGACTTCCGAGCGGGGGACACGCCGTCGTAGGTCTGACGTTCTCTCCGGAGCCCACCGGGACTTTTTTCATCTTTATCGGGCTGCTCAATCGGCCCACCGGTTCCACACCGGCCACCTGTAGGTCCGCCCCTCCCCAAAATGTGCTTTGGTGCTCAAGGGCTTCACAGAATCAGAACAGAACCGAAGCAGAACCGGACCCCCAGACCCATTGGCGAACGAGAGAGCCGTTAGCCGGCTCACGAGGACTTCCGAGCGTCACGCACCGCCCGTAGGTCCGGCGCTTCCTCCGGAGCCCACCGCCACTACCCCGAGCCAGAACCAGCAGGGTAAGTCCGCCGAAACTGAACCAAGTGGACCAGAACTGAGCCGCTCCTGTTCTGCAGAGCTGGTGAGTAAAATTTAGCAGCTACGTGTACAGTACTGTACCTATGTTGTTAAAATGATGAAGGTTTAAGAGTTTCGAACATTGCAAGAGTGTGGGAAGGGTTTCTAAAGCCTTAAAATATATAAATACTAAAATAAATATAACGTTGCTACTTTGGGAATTTTCACTTATTGCAGGGGGTGAGTGGGTCCGGAACGTAACCCCATTAAACGAGGGACTACTGTACTGTAATTCTCTTTGTTGAGGTTTTATTTGTACTAAAGTTTAGAGATCTGCTCTGAACTCACAGCTTTGAGTGTGAGGTCGCACTGGGAGACCATCTCTCTGATCTGAGTGATTATCTCGCTCTTGGTGTTGGCCAGGTCCACCTTCTTCACGCCAACGTCCACCTGACAGGCCTTGCAGTGCTCCCTAGCCTCCTCCGCCTGAAAAGAAAAGCGCATGCCAACGTGAAGCGACAGATAAATATTTCCAAACGTCAGGAAGTCTGAGAGCTCCACCTTCTGCAGGGCCTCCTCCTCCAGCCTGCGCCTCTTCTCCAGCTGCTTGGCCACCGCCGGCCCCGCTCCTCCCGCGCTCTGCTCCTCCTCCAGACGGCTGGTGGTCACCTTGGCCTTCTCGTACTCCTCTTGCCGCTGGGCCTGCAGCAGCCGGGCCTTCCTCAGAGCGCTGTCGGCCTCTTGCTGCAGAGACAAACAGGTGAAATGGAGCAGCGCTCTTGGACTGAGCGAGTCCTTGGATCCAACATTTCTGTTCAAAGTTCACGACTCACCATTTTCTTCTGCTCTCTCTGCCACTGCTCCTTGACCTCTTTGCGGAGTTTGTCCAGCTCGTTCTTTCTGGCTAGGAGAGGCTGGAAGGGACGCATGGCAGTCATCAAGACCTCTTGTTTGTCTTAGTTTAAAAACCTCAGACTTCTCCAGACTAAGATTATTATTTTGAGCCATTCTGAATCCCTAAATGCAAACATTAATTGACTACATATGTACAGTAAACTACACAAGAAATGATTTAAAATCATAAAATGATTTCAAGGTCCTAATGACAGTTCAAGTGATCTTCAGAGGTTAATTTCTGTAAAATATCATTTGGATTTAGCGTCAAATTATCGTATATTTCACCTATAGATTGTAATTTTTTGCATAATTTGCATGCCCTGCAACTTATACGCCGAAGCAACATATTTATGGCTTTTTCCACTTTATTAGACATATTTGGACTGATGCGACTTAAAAGGCGGCGCAACGTTTACAGCGAAAAATACGGTAAAATGTACAATTTGCCTTACTTCTCCTGCCTATTGATTCATGATGCTCATTTTGCATGTGTAACAGTATAATAATAAATGTAGTTGCTTTATTGCACAGATATAAACAAGGAGACAGAAAACAACAGTGAACACGTCGACTCCGTTTAAATTCTGTGTCGGCTCTTTCCTGCCTTCAGGACAGATTTTAAATCAATTTATTGTGGCCTAGGAGCAGACGTTAGCAAATAATTAGCTTAGCCTCTGTATTTTGTTTCACCTGCTAACATGCTAACTCTTGTAGCTCGTTGGAAACACTTAAAAACAGAGCTGTTGTGAAAAGACAAACAGATGCAGTTCCTCTGATAAACGAGCCGTAACGGACTGATCCAGCAGGAAAAATATACGACCAACTGAAAAAGTCCCCCCCCCCCCTTTTTTTTTAAGTTTAAAGTTAATCTGCACTTGGCTACAACTGGATGAGGCTCGGAGAAGCAGGTCCGAGGGGGGAGCGGGGACAAAAACTAAATTGTTGTATTTTAATAAAAGTCATATAAACCACAGGAAGCATATGACAGAAGAATTAAGTGTTTTTTTTGCATCTAAACTGGTAACCAGTCCGTGCCTTTTACAATTAGCATTTTTACAGCAAATATTATAGTTTTTTTAAGTTTGCACATCGTCTTACGATGTAAACAAAAGCTGTAGAACTGCAAATATTTTGAGTTTATCAATGTTTATAAGTTACACAGAACTTTATGCCCATTTTTGATCAATCATAAATCTGAACAGCGCACTCCTGTTTGAGCGTTTTATTTTTAGAAAACCGGACGAGGAAGAAGGAACTTGACGGAGTCAGACGGCTCCTTCCGACGAGGTACCTGCACAAACTTGTTGCTCTGCAGGATCACTGCGGTCTGAAGCACCAGCTGACTGTACTCCACGTCGTGCTTGAACGCCGTCGTATAAATCTCACGGAACGGCATGAACTCCTTAAACGAGACGGAGAAAATCGGCTTATTACGTTTTAGGAAAGACAGAAACGGCAAAAGTAGCTGCGACATCTGCTCACCTGCTGGTTTGCCAGCACCTTGGCAGTGTCGGCCATCTTGGCGTAACTCTTTGCACACTCGATATCTGCAAAAGACAAAAGACAGCTGAAATTTAAACATTAGAACACAACAAACAATATTTGATAAACTAAAAACTATACTTAGATACTCCCAAAAAAAAAAAATCTCTAAGCTTTTTTCTTTTTAATCAAATGAATGTATAAAACAAAGTCCATGAAGCGATAATCGATGCTGAACAGGTGAGAGATCTGTGTGTCGGACACAAACCACTCATTAACCAATTTAGCAAACAAAAAGATTTCACACGGCAAACTGGACCTTGAGCGTGAATAAGGTTTTTTTGTTTCAGGTGCAGCTCAGACAGTCGAGCAAACCTTATGTTTTTATTTGCCCTTCATTTGGGTGATATGCATAAAACAAAGTAGTAGAAAATGTGATATAAAAACAGCAGCCATGATTAACTGAAAAAGGAAAAACTAGAAAACATTAAAACTGTTTTCTCTCAAAAGCAGAACCTGAAAAACAAAAAATCACATTTGATCAAAATTAAAAGCTCACAGCATTTGTCATGAGTAGAGAGCAGGTGGAAGAGAGCCTGGAGAGGTAGAAGGATGACAGAATCCAGATAAAGGTGAAACATTGAAGCTGTAGTGAGTAGAGGTGCTGACCGTGGATGAATTTAAGCTCCTGGGTGATATATCGAGGATATTTGAGTTATCAAAAATATTTATGTTGGAAATATCAAGTCAAAGCTTTTTAGCTGTGTGCATCTAAACCAGTCTGACTGAAGAAGTCTTTCGGATGAAAGATGAAACGTTTCTACTTTTTTTTTTTTTGCTTTTTGTTTTTTGAATGTCCAGAGGACCAGACTTAACGTTTTTAGATTTAAGAAGAAATGTTTATTTGTTTTGCATGTAGAACCTTTTTTGACCACAGGATGGCAGTATAAAACTGTTTGAACCAAAGGATGGATAGTGAGGGAGCGAGCAGCGTGTCTCTTAAGAAAAATGGGAGGGAGGCCCCTTGACATGACATGGTCTGTCTCTCTTGGGTTCTCAAAATTGTGGATGCTCGGTGTAGTTTGAGCTCTTTAGCATAGCATTTTTCACACAAAGCTTTAATAAAAAATCAGTAAACAAGTTCTCAGCTTCTTTTTACAGAGAAAAACAACTTTTTACACGAAGGCACGGGTTTCAACCGTAAATTTTGGAGCTTCAACAAGACGGAGGTTTTTTCCCCCCGAGGTCGGCCCGTTAGCTTAGCTGCTTTTAACGATCCAAAAATGTGATTTTGGATCGTTAAAATGGATTTTAAAGAGAAAATGGGAGGGGTCAGTGAAGAGCACCGGAGTTGAGCCTTTTGTCATCCAGTGTCCTCAGAAGAAAGAGAGAGACACGAAGAAACGATAAAGCCAATAAATGAAAATGAGGTTGATCATTTTCATTTATCTTGATTTATTGTTTATTACGATGGGTGTAGTGTAAAAATAAACAATATATAAGGATCTAAGATTTACACTAAGATATACGTTAAACACTGATAATGTAAAACAGTATGGCGTAACAACGGCAGCCCGAACATGCAAGTGGATTGGATTTAAACCACTTTAAAAAAACTCAGGTTATGTATTAAGACTAGCTCGAGAGGGATCTCGATGTTCTTGATTCTGTAAGTTTAAAGGAGTCAGCTCATCGCCATCAGAATCACTCTGGACTTCATTAAATCTGCTATTTGCCTGATGAGCATCAACATTATCGTCTCTGAGATAACTCAAGCAGCTGATGATTCAGAGACTTATTGAGACTGCTAGCCATGCTGCCATCTTGCAAACCTAACCGAGAAATGATGCCTAGCACGACGCCAAGAGGAAATTATTGGATGTCTGATTAAAAAAGGAAGACCGCAGTTTATGGATGGGTTATTGTGACAGTAAAGGATGCTGGTTAAGGGGGAAAGAAATTGTCACCGACTATTTTATATATTCCTGCTCATCTCTCGTCCCCGACTCACCCACACTGAGCCGCTTCTCCACCCACGCCAGCAGCTCCTTGGTGTACTTGGACCACGCCTTGGCGTAGAGCAGCACCGACTCCACGCCGCTGTCCTGCCGCTGCAGCGTCCTGTCTACATCTTCAGCCCGGATCGGTGGAGACGGCCCTGCAGCAAGCATGGAAACCACATAAGGGATGACCGTCCAACACACCTCACCTCTAAAACCAGCATCTCATGGGGCTGCGACTGGTGGTGGCCAAGTGAAACCCTTTCCTCAACTTCTTGAGAGCTGTATTATTTTGATAGACTTACAAAGTCCTGGTGAATTTTGGCCCAAATACCTCTGAGAATTTGTGTGTGTGATTTTAGGTAAATAATTGCAGGTTTTCTTACAATTCTGTGTCTCCACATGTCGCAGCTGAGTGAGACACTTAACCTAAAGTACATGCAATACCTCGCTAGGAACATCTGTGAGTGCGAGTCAGCAGGAAAAGCCCAGACTGACCTCTGGTTCTGGTAACTTACGCTAATACCATTAAGGCTAACCAGCACTGACAGCAGATATGAACTAGAAAGTTTCTGGAGAAACTTAAGACGGGGACTGCCATGCTGCTGCCAATTTAAAATTTTGATGTGTTTGGGTTCACCTCTCAGATACCACTATACCAAATTTCAGCTCAATATGGCAAAAAAAAAATCAACGCGTTGTAGTAATTTTTTCTTTTAAGCTTTGGTGGCCATTTTGGATTTGGATTCGGTATGTGATGGGGGATGTTCTCAGCTATAATCACACTGAATTTCAGCTCTGTATGTGTAAAAATGGCTGAATTAAAGCCATTTAAATGTAGCATTGGTGGCCATCTTGGATTTTTGTTTTGGACAAGTATGTGACGGGAAACATTCTCAGCTGTCAACACACAAAATCTTAGCTCAATATCTCTAAAATTAGATGATTTAGTGTATTTTTCCTTTTTAGCTCAGGCAGACATCTTGGATTTTGGATATGCATTAGCAAATGTATCAAAACTCGCTCTCAGCTACAACCAAAGAAAATTTCGGCTCAAAGAATGACTGAGTTATATCAGTTACAAACAGTTAGACGCTGTTGAGTTCCGTCAGGCATTTTGAATAAGGAAAAATGGCTTCTTTGTTTGCAAATTACGTTACCATGGTAACTCGAAACGCCAATAAAAGTAATGGCACGCATCATGATGCCAAGTTGATCGTTTTGATATAACATTTGAGGGGGTACACATTGCGGTTCGGGCCACATTAAAGTTGATGGAAGTGTAAGATATAAAGTTAAGAAACCCATCTCAAGTGGATAATAACAAGTGCTGCCTCTTACAAGACAGTACCCAATTAATAAGTTACTAATTCACAGACAAAGTAGGGAGGCTGCAGAAAAAACACATTTCTTTCCTACACATCCAGCCTGTGATTAGTTTTCATCCTTCACACTGAGGCCCCGTCAGTACAGTAGCTGCGTTCAGCCTCTTACCTGGAGGATCATCTTTCTCAGGACCGGATCCTCCGGATTCCACAGAGAGGTTCTCAAAAGACTGAAAAGGAGACAAATGTTTAAAGAAAAATCCACAGGGGAAGGTGGGGGGTGTGGGGGGGGGGGGTCAGTTTCCTACTTGAAGCAGAGAATGCTTCACTAGCATGATTAAAAGAGCCCTTATCAGAACGTGGACTTCCTCTTTAGATCAGTCAAGTCTGCAGCAGGAAACAACACACAGCAGCTATTTATCACTGTTTGAGGCCGGTGAGTCAACCTGCGAGGGCCCGCTTCACCCCTGAACCTCGACCTCTGCTGGGGAATCTGTCACGTGTCTGGTTTGACAGCTCAGGGGCAGCGGGCCACGTCCTGACAGTTAACAAGGTCGGGGAGCAAAACTTGACCACGTGCACTATCACACGTTGAGCTTCGCTGCCAGATTCAGTTGTGGAACTCAAAACTTGACGAGACCATGAAGGTACAAATACATTTTTTTCTTACCTTGCTTCTCTTAGTTAGGGGGAGCCCCAACACTGATCCGTTCTCTACATCTCCCATAAGGAAGTCAGACACTCTGAAGAGAAGCAGAATAAAAACAAGATTAAAAATTAAATAAATCTTTGTGGAAAAACTGTTTCACCAAAAAACACCAAATGCAAAGAATTCAAATCTTGAGTAAGGGTTGAGATTTAAAACACAAACGTTTGTGAATATTCTTTTAAAAAGAGTATTTCAGACATTTTAAAGTGTTTTGTTGAAAGGTTAAACTGTTGCAGAGAGCTCATGGATCAACAGGCAGGAGAAATGGAGTTTAGGTCCATGAGCTAACGAATAATCTGAACTCGTCGTATAAAAAGCTCCAATCTCTTAAATTTCATAGGGATTATCGCAAACGTTGACGACAAATCACAAATTATTTACATGGACCTTCCTGGTTATTTGCAAGTACAAAGCAGCTAGCTATAGCACGTCCTGTGCTAGCTAGTCACTTCCTGGAAAATGTCAGAATAGTTTTGCTGGAAGACACAAAGTATTTGAAACTGACAATAGTGTGAGGATATAAATCCGTCCAAGCGGAGGCTCAGAAGGTAAAATCTACTTTGAGACACATCATCGACGGGGACGATTCTAAATTGATTCTTAAAAGTGAAAAAAAATAAATTTCTATTAGCGTTAATCTTTAAGAAATGTCAGCAGTCATTGCTGTGTGGTGCCATTTGTCCCACTGGAGTTACCGTAGCTTCCTGGTGTAGAAACATCTAGAGCTGTGTTTTCTTATTATTTTCATCTTTACTTTGTTGAATTCTAAAGAATAAATATCTTTAATTACTGACGTTCTACTGTAACTGTCTTTAGAAATAACTTTGATTCATTTATAAATCTCCAGTAATAAGCAGGATGCTAATTCTGTTAGCTTTTCTGCAGCATTTTTAATAATACGTTAGCATCAATGCAAATCGTTGGTCAGCAGCCTGTGATTAGTTGGGGTTTTCTTTTTGCTAGGCACAAAAATGTATATTTATTTATGTAAAATAAACTACAATCATTTAGGTTTCAAGATGATAGAAATGCCTCAAATATTGTTTATGCAAAAACGTCAAGAATTACAATAAATGAAATTGCAAAGAGTCCCACAAAAATATTGATATACAGTATTCCTACAGGAAGTGCTACAGCTAGCTGCTGCAGACACTATTAGGACATACAAATAATCCCTAAATTTAATGCAAATTAAAACGGATGGTAGTCTTAAGGTTTATTTTAAAAATTTAAACGTGAACATATAATTTAGGAGATTAGAATTGGATTAAGATAGCGGCGACACGCTTTGGTCTTGTTTCTGCTCAGACTAGCCATTAGCTAGTTAGCTGAGTCAGAGATAAACTCCAAACCAAGGTCATTTAAAGAGTTGTCTACAACAGGTAAAATATTAATTGTTCGTAGCGTTTCCCTTCTTTAAAATATCCAAAATATCCCTTAATTATTGAAGGTGCAGCAACAATGTCACACTTACACATTGCCAAAGGTGAACGCCAAAGTGTCGATAGCCGTGTAGATTTCACCCAAAAGCTTCTGTTTGTTCTCTTCATTCACCTCGTTGAAGTTCACTCCTGTCACATGTGAAGAAAGATTAAAATGTTTTGATGTGAAACAAAACCAGGGATCATGCTGGATTTCTCTTTAGTTTGAGGCCTTAACGTTTCGCCGCATGACTCATCGTCCTGTCCGCGGCGTCAGAGCTGGTGAGACTCTCTCATGAGTCACGCTGCACTCCTCAACAACACAAAGAGCTCAGAGCCTTGTTTGTGTGCCGAGACTCTTTATTTATTTATTTAAGTCAAAAAGTCCCTCGGAGGCATCAAAAACTAACTCTGATAAATGTGCTCAGATAAGCCCAGACTGTGTGCGTTTTGCTGTAATCTGGCCCGGCAGTAGTTTCCTGCTGCAGGCCTAAACACGGCGACGACGGAGGACGGAACGATGGAAACAACAACACCGTGTTGTTGTAAATACTGCGGTAATCAGTCGTCACTGTAAACGTTCCTTAGAGAAAACTATACGGAGAGGAGACGTTCAAAAGGAGTCCGAAGGCGCAGCGATAAATGTGTGGCGTCGCAGAGCGCTTCCTCAGTCCTTCCTTTCCTTCAAACAATGAAGACTTGGAGAGCTTTTCACAAAGGAAACAACTTTCCTTAAGTTCTGTAGGTAAACCGTTTGTAATTTGGACCAAGCTGAGGCTGAAAATTCTATTTTTACTTAGAAATAAACTGAAAGCTTCTCAACTCTTTGTGTTTATGCCCGTGAATGAATACTTTCTGATGACACGGAGGAAATGTTGAGGCTGAAAAATGAAAACGTTGATGGATACGTCCTAAATCGTGGTGGTTTTGTCCAACTTACTTGGAGGCTGAACGTCTACCGTTATTACTGCATGTTCATGTAAGACAGGGTGTCCAAACATTTTTATATGTGGACCAAAACTATCAAAAGGACTGGAGGGCCACAAAAATGTGAATTTAACTCAACGTGAACAATATTTTGGAGAAAGGACAAAAGTTTACTGATTTCAGTGGAGAAAGAGTTAAATTGTTGTAGATCCCAAAACATTTAAAGCCTCATAAACACTAAGCTTATGTGTTTTATTAAAAATGATTTGATTAATTTGATTTGCTGTTTTATTGTGTTTAGAAAGTTCATTTTAATCTGTTCTCAGCAACAAAAGCGTAATTTGAGTAAGTGTCATTTTAAAAGTTCAGACTTTTGGACCATGAACGGCCCAAAAGGTTGATCGAAATTTAGAAAAATCGTCCAGCTGTCAGTCGCTACAGATTCATAGAAGGTTTGATAAAGTTCATCAACTCGTATGTAGATGATACCACGTTATATTCATTTTAAAATGTCAGATTTCCCTCTTGATTATGTGTTCAACTGTAATATTTAGCCAAGTTTTACGAGTCATTATCCAAAAGTCTGTTTTCTGGTAGAAATCAGTAAAGGTTTGTTGTGTTTTGTACCATGCAGTGAAATTAAAAGATTATAGCCAAAGATTTGTATTTTGCTTAATATTGCTCATTTTGAGATCATTTTTCATCCGTTTTGCTGTTAAACCTAAACAATATATAAAAAAGGATTACCAATGAATCTGCAGAAAGTCTGCTGGACAAAATGATACCATTCTTAAACTGCAACTGTGGGCCGCACAGAATCACTCCAAGGGCCACAAATGGCCCTCGGGCCGCACTTTGGACACTCGTGATCCAAGATCAAATCTGTTGTGTAATTTAAGTGTCCTGCGTTTGAATCAGGGATGAGCAGAGATTTGAGAAATATGATGTTATTCTGAAAGAAAGAGCCAGAATACCAGATAGTCTGAGGCATGTGATACCAAAATTAAGAAGTAAAAATAAGAGAAGTCTTTTGTTGCAACAGTTTGTCAAATAAGAAGTCTTAGAAATTCACCTAGGACTTTAAAAGGTTTTGTAACGTTGATGCTGTTTGGACCAAAACTACAAACCACCTACCTCAAACCAAACGCTTCTTGCCCTCCTATAAAACACCAACAAGTCTTGTGGATTTTAGGAAGCAGCGCGACTCGTGTCGACTGGTGAAATGCATTCACCTTTAACACAAAACCAACATGTCTGTTTGGAGATCTTAGAGAAGGCTCGTCTCAGTAAAAAAGAAAAGCTGTATTATCCACGGGAAGCATCCCGATACCTCCAGAGCAGCTACTGTAGCTACCACCAGCTCTTGATCTGCTATACCTCCTCCTGTTCTGTCCAGACCCCCACCACCTCCCCCCACAACAGGACATCCTGGGGCTCGCTGGAACACAATGCCGTGACTCGCTCAGGCTCCAACCAACGGTCCAAACACGGAAGTTACATCATTGGGTAAAAATGGTATTGTTTCAGCAGGGAACGCGCGACGCTGTCTGAACGCTCGTCAGGGGCTACGTTTGGTCCAACGTCGGCCGACTGGCGGGGCTTCGGTTCCGTACGAAGATGCAAAAAGGTGTGAAGTGTCATGGGATTAAAGCTGAATGTTCTAACAGTGGAACAAACCGGAGATTATATGACTCAAAGGGATTAACTAGAGAAAATGCAGTTCCTGTTAAAAGACTTTGTGAATGCATATTGTGGAAGAACTTGCTGAAAAGCAGCTGAAATTAGCTAAAAGCATGTTGAAATGCAGCTGAAATGGAAGAACACACCTAAATTATTACAAGAAAGGAGAAAGAACTACTTGCTGAATTAGGTTTGCACAAAATTAGGAAATTAGCTAAAAACATGTTGAAATGCAGCTGAAATGAAGAACACGCCTAAATTATTACAAGAAAGGAGAAAGAACTACTTGCTGAATTAGGTTTGCACAAAATTAGGAAATTAGCTAAAAAAAGATTAAATTAGCAACAAAAAATAGCTGAAATTTAGCTAAAAAAAAAGAGAAAAGAAGCTAAAATTACCAGAAGGAAGTGGAGAGAGCACAATTTACCTGAATTAGGCTTAAAAAAGTTAAAATGAGTGCAAAAAATGTGGAATTAACTGAAAAAGCTAAAATTAGCAAAAAACTTCTAAATAGTTGCTGAAATAGCAGAAAAAGCTGTAACTTGCAGAAATAAGTTGGAAGCAGCACAAAAATATTGTAGTTAGCAGAACGATCCTAGAAGGAGCACAAAACAGCTAAAAAACAGCTGAAAGTAGTTTGAATAAAAGTTTAAATTTGCAGCAGGAAGCTGAAAGAAGCTGAAGCAGAACAAAATGTGAAAGGAGCAGTAAAAGGTTGTAAACACATCTAAAAATGTGAAGGATGTAAAATGAGCTGAATTCATTTTCTATGAGAAAAAAATGGAAGAAAAGGCCAAATATTTCAAAAAGCTAAAGTTGCACCAATACCAAAAGTCCTGGCAGGATTGTCCTGAAAGAGCTGAACGTTTTGATTTATGATTTATTGAAATAGACCAATAATTGTGGAACGAGAAAAATGCCAAAAAACATACAGAAGAAAAACGGATCATAATAGTGTGAATGCTTCATAAACATTCAAACTATTAAAACAACAAAATGAACGCTTCTGTGGTCTTCTGCGCATAAATAAGGGTTATTAAAACTCCACATATTGTGATACTTTGAAATAAACAGCTTAATAACAAACTTTTACAGTACAATAGGTTTTCTGAAGAGGAAAAGTCATTTAATTTAAAATATGATGTACATAACTTGAATACCAAAGTTTGAAACAAAGAGCTCTGTTGTTTAATATCTATTAGCACTCCAAGCATGTTTGGGGATGACTCTCAGCTACTTTCACACAAAGTCTGAGCACAATTTCTGTAAAACTGACTGAGTTAAGAACTTTTATGTGTTGGATAAGGTACATTGTCTGTGGCGGCCATCTTGAATCAGGTTTGCTTCTCAAGTTGTTACAGATGAACGCCTACTGATTGATTTCTGAGAGTTTAATTCAAATCTTTCAGTGTCACTTGTCTTTTAAGGCGGCCAAAAATAAAAAAAAAATGCTATTTTTTGTTTCTGTTTGAACATCAGTCTGCACAAAAGATGGGACTTGCATGAAAACTACTATTTGTTTTTGCTAAAACGCGCAACAACCACGTGCTATAATTCCTTAAAGTGCAACAGGATGCTGAGCTGTATGACTGTCCTTTTTATCTTGTAAATGGTTTTGTCTCTCTCTTCTCCTTTACCTTTCATATCTTTTAGATATATTTTATCACCGTAAGGACGACACAATTTCCTTGTAATCAAGTTATTCTGTTAAGTCTGCAAACTCCATTCGGCTACAATCTTAATGTGAAGCTTCCTTCAAAGCAGCTTTGGAACCAAAGAAAACTTCTCGTTAGTTCTTCAAACTGCTTTCAGGGCTTAAGAGGACAGGGTGAAAACATGCAACTGTTGGGTCCAGGAGGCTGTCAGGAGAGGAGGGAGGATCAGAGACAGAAACCAGAAGGTGGAGGAGTAGCTGACGGATAACTCAGACTTTATGTATTTCAGGGAGAAGCTGGTGAGCTCCGCTCACCTTTGACCGTGGAGATGACGGTTCCGGCCGTGCTGAGGATGTCCACGGAGTTCAGGCTCTGGTGTTTCTTGATGATGGCCTTCAGGACTCGCAGCAGCTCACCGAGTCGCTCGTGAACCGCCTGATGGAGGCAGTCCTGGTGCTCTGCAAATAGAAATATACCAGCTAAAAGCTTCTTTCACTTCAAGTAAATACACATTAATTTGTAGAGATGGATTTAAAAAAAGAGGATATCAGCAGATTATTTGGAAATGTTTATTTGACATCAATGAAAACAATAAAAACAGCTTCAACATTTCCAGCTGGTGACCTTTTACCAAAAGGATAATGTGACAGTTGCACTGATCACGTCTGAGTCAGACTGAAATCACTCCGAGCTTCTGAGGAACATGAATGTGTCACTTACTGCAAAACTGCGTAAACTGATGGAATTTAGTTTTATTGTACTGAGAATTAAACTGAGCTATGAAAACAAAAAGATAGTCCAGATTTTTTAAGAAAAGATGCTGTGGAACTGGAAAGGTTATATTTATATAGATTTCTTTAAGGAAAATGTTCCACAGACTGGTACCGGCCCTTGGCCCCAGTAGCTCAGCACAGATTAGCATTTAGCTCTTCAATCTGGTCAGAATTAAACCCTTTCTTCAAACTAAGGTCATCCAAAGAGCTACCCACAACAGGTAAGATCATAATTGTTCATAACCTTTCCTTAGAAGACCATTTTAAAAGATGCATCTCAGGTATTCAGGTTTATACAAGTGATGTCCAAAGAATGAGTCAACAGCAGTTTCAAAGGGACAATTTGCACTTTGTTATCAAGTAACCTTGAAAATGAGCTCTTGGCATGACTGAGGAATGAGTTCACAGAAGAGGAATTGTAAATGAGTAAGGAAGCGAGGCTGAAATTAAAGTTTATGGCCTGTCAGAAGCATGCAGGTGACTGTCACCTTGGCAGAACAGCAAACATTTCATGGCTCCGTGGCCAAGTCCTGCCAGGCTGTAAACAATAAATACAAAAGCAGCTGAGCAGATTGTTTTGACTTTAGCTTTTAAATATATATTTATCCTAAGTCATGTGTTTAGCTGGTTTTATTTTAATGGCTGTTTCTTTGTCAGACCTCACTGCAAAACACACCCAAACATCCAGGCAGTAAGAGCCACAGATTGTTCAGATGAGCACCACTGGATTACCTTTAATGGAAACAGAGATCAGAAAGATTTTAGCTACAGGCTCAAATTGTGTTGATGCTGGAGCTAAAAATGATGGGCCTCACTGTGCCAAGGTCAGAAGAGGAGTCCGACTAAATGTTTGGTTTGTTAGGAGCATGAAGCACAAAGAAAACCAAAAGAAAACGACGTTTTATTATTTTTCCTAAAGATTTTTTTTTTTAAAGCAACAGAAGAAAAGCAGAGCGGTGCACATTTGTTGCGGATTAATGAAGTCTCAAAAAGAAACAAGCGGTACGTCGATGTCCCCCGTCGCTGAGGGATTTGAATAAATGTAGAGACGAATGTTTTTCTGGACTGGGATTAAACGGGGAATGCACGTAAACCTTAATGTCTTTGGTGCAACATTTAAGAACAGAGGTACTTTTTCCCCACGCTTGTTTGAGGCAGCACAAAGTGATGGAGGGGACACATTTGTATCCACCACCAGGTCCAATGGCAGAGCCAGGGGGTAGATTAATCTTTGGCCACCTCAGTCATTTGAGGAAACTATTTTCCAGCAATATAAAAACTAGAAAGCATCTTGGATTTTAACCTGGCAACACTTTTTTACTCCTAGCTCTAGCCACACACCAAAATGGAAGCCAGTACCTCACTTATTTTTCAAGTTATCATGCACATAACATGCACGGATGGGCGGACAGCGTTTCCAATTCCCTCTCTTTGCTCTGTGACGAGGAACAATTGATGGATTTTGGTTCACTCAAATATAAACATCGGTGGACAAATCTGAAGGCAACAGTGTTTACAGTAGACCTTTACTTATCGAGGGGGTTATGTTCCAGGCGATAGATGAAAATCCACGAAGTAAGGACGTTATATTTATTGTAGTATATATATATATATATATATATATATATATATATATATATATATATATATATGTATATATAACTTTTCTCACACTCTTGCAATGCTCTTAATGTTCTAAACTCGCTAAACGTTCTAACAGAGCACAGCGAAAGAGAGAAGACGGACTGATGCAACGGTTACTGAGCCAATCGGACTGACCATCGGGAGCACTTGCCGCATTTCCCGGTGGCCTGGCCCGCTCAGTAATAGCCGAGGGGGACTAAAGACTCAGTTCAGGTCGCACTTGATTATTTTAAATAAGCAATCCATGCCGCTCGTGCAGCTCACTCAGGTATAAGAGACCGCCCCCTCCGTTCTTTTTCCGAGGCTGTCTGTTGCATGCCTGCCTGTTGTGTGTCTTTGCTCTGCTGTGACACACAGCTTCAGAAAGAGAAAGGAGGGGGCGGGATCTGTCTTTCTCCATCACCAGTCGTGTGTCGTATACAATCTTACATTGAAAACCCACAAAAGAGTGAGTCTGCGAGAGTCGAACTGCGAAGTATCGAGGAACTACTGTGCATGTGAATAAATAAAATTATTCAGCTGTATCTCCAGACACAACTTTATGCTGACAAATATAATTACATAAGGAAAAGTAGAAATCCTAGACAGTTTTCTACCACCAGAACAAGTCCCTGACAACAAGCCATGTTTCTTATAACTTCTTTAAAAAATCTCCACGGGACCTGGAGAGTCCCATCTTTCTCTATAGCAACCACCCTCATTCATCTTCATCACTTGCCACATCCAGTTCCTTTCAGTCCAGAGGACCTGGTGAGTTTTTCATCCAGTAGGACTCTTGTGGTTTTGTTTCACTGCCCAACTCAACATGGGGCAGGAAACGGGCCAGTGTGCTTCTGGCACAAACCACCCACCCAACTCTACGTCTGTGCAATCAGAAAACTCAAACTTGAAAAAAGAAGGCAAAATCAGGTGGAGTCTCCACCTCTAGTCACATCATGAGACAAATCATTACAAAAAACACGTATGTGTTGGAAAAACCCAAACGCACCACGATTAAGCTTATGAGAGTTCACTATAGAGCTGCTTAAACACTTGAGCCAATAATTAGGCTAACTGTTTATTTACGGACTAATTTTTGAATCTACAGAAAACACAAATGACCATAAATCACTCTCACGTAGACTTGTAAGTTTAATATTACTGCCTAGCCATTGAATCGTGGCACCTGAAGGAACCAAGGTGAAGATTTATTATTGCCCACGAGGCAGAGGGGTCTTCCTTTGCAAATCTCAGGGGGCTTTGATCGTCAGCGGTGGCCAGTTGGCCCGTTTGAAAATCCTAAAAGGAGGATAATTAGCAAGTCATTATGGCTGCGTCCACCAGCACAGCAGGAGATGGGATAATGTACAGAGACTGATTATTTAACCCCTTAACTACCATTAAGGGTGGCACACAAAAGGAGGAAGACTTGTTCCCACCACGGACAGCCTGACTTGGTATAAAAGCATCTTTCAGCGGATGAAAAAACACAATATGAGAAGTTACAGCTTTCAAAAAAATGTGTGGATGTATTTTTTCCTCCACATCCATTTCTCCTCTTGCCCATAAACAGTAAGACTGTCTGCATCACGGGCCTGCCACGTGAGGCGTTTAAGGAACAGCAACTGCTGCTTCTTCTTCAAGAAAACTTGTAGCTTGAGTGCTTTTTAGCGAGCAGTAGAGGGATTCTGAGGAACACAAAAGCAGGAGTTTGGCGAGTATGGGAATCAGAGAAAGAGGATGGAGGCTGCGGACTGTCCTTTGGGATTCATCCTAAATTTACCCCCCCCTGCACCCCACCATCCCTGCTCCAGCGGGGGTTATGAAATGAGGAGGGAGCAAGCGGCATTCCTTGGCATAATAAGCCCCCGGTGAATGAAGGCTACATGGGGATCAGACTCTGATCCTGATGAGGAGGAGGCCTGCCAGCAAAGCATTGGCAGGTTTTTACTCCGTTAGCGTCATGGAAACCCGACATTCCAGCCTCTTGTTTGGGAGCTGGGACGGGAGACGTGGGAGCAAGGGGTCGCGGGGGATCCTGAATGAAAACACCGCCGGATCGTCCGCCATTGAGATGACCAATCAGAACCAAAATGTCCCACTGGAGATACACTCAGCTACTACCACTCCAAGTTTTAGCTCAATTTGTGCCAACTCGACTGAATTACAGCCAACTCTGTGTTCGTCGAGGTCAAGAAGCTGTGGCTAAACTTAATCACCTTTAGACAGTTGTCCCTGCAGTGGGCTTGGTAACTATAATTAAAAAATGGTGGCGATTAAAGTTTTGGAAGCAACTTAAACTGAAAAAGAAAAAATGTCTGAAACAAAAACGAGCTAAAAAAAGAACAGAAAACTTTCAGATCATGGTTATCAGCAAAAAATATTTAAAGGAAAACCATGTTTTATGTTTATTTAATGTTTTTAGATAACAACCGGTCTGTTTCATTTGTTTCACTTGATGACACAATAAATTATATCTGACATGCTGTTGTAAATCACTGCACATAAACGTTAAATATAAGTTAAAACGTCTTGGAAATGCTTAGAGGTAGCACTTGCTATCAATTATAAAAAAAGACGCAACTGAGTTTGATATTGTTGAGAGACAACCCTGAAGGCTGTGTACTGTAATATTTAAAGACTAACTTTATTTCACATCTTTACTTCAGGAGAACTATTTAAGGCACAAATAGGAAACAATCGATTCAGTTATTATTTGTTATAAATAAGTTTAGATGTGGCCAAAGGGCTGCTGGGTATAATTTGCTGTATTAGCATGTAATGCTAAGTTTAGAGATGCACAATTTTGGATTTTTGGCCAATATCTGATATGCTGATAAGTTAAAATGTATTTGGCCGATAACCGATACCAATACCGATATCACTTTTTCCTAGACCTAGTTACAGAGACTACACAGCTTTCTCTGCTGTGGAATTAAAATACTACATTATTCTGCATGGTCTTTGTCAATTTGGCCTGCTACCAAATTTATTTATATATATATATATATATATATATATATATATATATATATATATATAAAGAGTGCCTTTTATATCAG